CCATTTCCAACGGACGATCCGTTCATTTGATGCCTGATGTCGGTGGCATTTGCAACTGCGTTCTAGTGTGTTGGAAAATCTCTGACCGGTCGCTTGAATAGGACAGTGATTTGAGACATCACGATAGCAGGTTATGCCCTTGAATGGTCGCCACGTCGTGTTTGGCTGACGGGGGCGAACAGTGGCTTACCAGGATTCAACGAACTGTTCGAGCTTCTTAGCCATTCTATTGGTGCAAGAAGGAGACGAACTGATTTACATGCGGCTCTGCTGAAAGCTCTTTCAGTCAGAATTTTAAGTGTGCAGAACATCGACCAGACATCCCACGCCGCCCGAGGGCCTGGCATGCCTGGGCACAAAATGGGCAAGACCAGTCTGAAGAATCTGGGATGTAGTTCCCAGTGCACCATAGTCGCCAGGCGATCAGCCTCAACTCTCGCTTCTGCCAATGAATCTACATCCTCACACAACGCCCATCTATATCGCTAAGCTTCTACGCAAATCTCTTGTGATTTTGTAACATGGAAAGCATCTCGAACAGGCAAGAGTCTATACATAGGAATTTGGATAACAACAGGCAGCGAGTTATCTGCTACAGGAGATCATATCTTGGCCGGGGTGCCTTGTCCGCGAACTTCGCCCGCCATGGCTTCGATAAATGATCTAGTATACAGCCAACGGACTGCCTCAGATGGCTTTCATCCTCGTCACTTCCACGCTCGAGCCTATCATGGGATATAAGAGGATCTTGCGAGCTGCCACCTGAGCAACAATGGCGAGTCAGAGTTCGCAACGATCGTTGTTTGCCTTAGACGGAGCACCTGTGACTGACGACCCGTTGAGTCTTCTACGCCACTCGATGTGAAATGAACTTGTTCACACCAATCAACGGACATGGTACTACTCATTGTTCAGCTCTTCACGCCCGACTTGGGAGTCCTGTTGTTTCCTTGAGAGAAAGATATAAGACGGCGACTCCCTCCTTCGCCATTCCTTCATACCTGTCTTTGCATTTCGCTCTTTTCCTTGTTTCTTCTTTTTATTTTTCCAACCCAGCTCCTAAAGTGACAATTCTCTTGTGACCACGATACTACTGGCTGGAATTTGCTTTCATTTACTTGCTATCATCAAGATCCGTCCGAGAGAGTCGACAATATAGCAGCATAAGGCTCGCAAGAGGGAGGTTGAAGACTTGCCTGCATACCCCTGGCATACCACCCGAAAATTAGCCGATTGCCAATAACCCCTTTGCTAGGACTGCATTAGTCGAAAAGCGTTTCCCAAACGTCATCCCTCAAGTTATCAACCTGCATCACACAACTACCGATATGGTCACTGCGTTGGCATTCCTTCTTTATTGTATTGCGAATCGCTGCATTGTTATCTTTTTCCCCTTGTCACAGTTTCTCGTTGTACTACTTGGTTTGGACTTGCAATACCATGTCCGCGAGCTCTTCTTGATGGCTAGTGCCTTGGAAAGTGGGAGGTAGGACAGACCCTGACAGTGTTCAGACTCTGCGGCTCAACCAGCCTCGAGAAAATTGCCGCTCTTACCTCGGGGCATAGGTGCGTCATGGGCATAGCGTGTTGCCCTATCAGCTCTGGTTCAAGTGATTCAGCCGCTATGCAGGTCAACCCGGGTCTCCAGGCAGAACAACAGGGCATCGCAGCTCCCTCCATCCCGACTCTAACCATGCGGCTCTTGTGAACCGCATGAGTCAACGAGCTACCTTAGCCAGGACCTCATTGCGACGTTCTGGGGGTTTTCTGGCAGATTTGATTCACCGAGTTCATCCCAACCTCGTCTTTCAGCCATTGAAAGAGCCTGGTGGATGGCCTACGCCATGCTATGATCACCCGGGGGATAGCGTACACCTCTGGGTACCCCCAGCTTAGGGGCTGTGCAGGCAGGAAATGCAAGCGAGGCTGCTTGCAGGGTTTCTCTCCCACCCGCTATGGCCCTCTGTCACTTGCATGCGACCCCTGTTAGCGCAGTGTAGCTGCACTGCAGTTAGTGGGCGGGGCCTCACAAACGGGCATTTTGAGCCGCATCGCTCTGTGTGGGCACGCCCAAAACGTGGTTTTAGCGGTCGTGCTGTGCACTCCGAGGTAGCTTGGCTTTCAGGACGCTAACATTGGGATATCACCACCTGACAGGCCCCTGAATCCGAACACTCGACTCGCAGCACAAGCTCTGATCTTTCTGCTACGACATAAGGGATGGCCTCTATCACTCACGCCTCAATCACCTGCGCTATTTTAGCCCGGGCTAACGTTGTTTCATGGATATCCGCCAATTGTCGCATAGGGCCGACATTGTCGGTGCTTGGACACTTGTGCGCTTAGCCATGTCTAGGGTTCATCGCTCCACATCAAGCAACAATTGAATCACATACGAAATGTCGTTGCCTTAACAGACCGAAATTCCTTTGGATTGCAAGGCGGGACAGATTCCTAGTGCTATATTTCCGGTGGAGTGCTTGCGGTGCTGCCGATTGCTGGCTGTGAACGGAGAGGCGGAGACCTCGAAGTATCGACGTGACTCTACTCTTGACAATGGCCCGGACAAACGAGAACGCGACTTTGATGTTCACGCCTTTAACTGGCTGTTTTCACCGATGGAATGTATACAGTTAGGCCCGCCTCAGTGTCCTCATTGCGTGAGAAGAATTACAGTTGCCTGGACTTTCTGGATCAAGTGGATACCTTCATTGCGGAAGGTTTGGCCTTTTGTGTCATCTTCACGATTGGGAGACAGAGAGACGGCCATTTACACTTGCTGCGGTCAAGCCTGTGCTGTGTTACTTTGTATTGACCCATTTTAGTATCAATTTGATCAATATAAAGCCAAAACCATCCTCGCAATGAAGCAATGACCGCCCATTTCCACCACCCTCACAAATTGGAAGTTTAATACTCATCACACCAGCTATCTCATCACTAATCAACACTCTTCTCCCTCCTTAACAGTCTCGTCCGTTGAGGCGAAATTTGATCGATTCATCATGCCCGCACGCTACGTCTGGAGGTGGTTCTGGGCATGCGTAAGTCTCGCTACAAAGTCTATGGCCGGTATGGGACTAATTGGAGCTATCAACAGCACAACTGCGGATATGGCGAGCTCAATGTCGACGTTCACATTGGCTGCCCCATGTGCGATCACACCCGGTGTGAATATTGCTCTACGAGACAGCTCAAGGTCGCCGCATGAGGAGTCAAAGGGTAATACAGCCTGTTCGATTCCTGAATGGAATTCAAACTAATAGTCTTTCCTTCCTAGAGATTGGAGCGCAATAACTCCTTCTACACAGCACTGCACTTATGAGAGGGTTAAGATGCGCAGAGCGGAACTCATACCAACAGCATTGGGAAGCTGAACTTTAGACGTCGTCAAGCCCTACGCATTACGCTTAGATACTTTCTTCTTTTTTGTGTTGTTATCATTTGCTTCTCATTGTCTGAAGATTTCCACTTTGGCGGCATGCTCTAGTTGCGCTTGGAGTTGGTCGAAGCTAGTTCGAAGTTACAGGAAACGTCTCACGACACTGCATTGGTTGGTTATTGTCACTTCACCATGGATTTCATGCATGCGGGTGTTTGTCATTCTATGTCTCCACATGGATCTTGAATTGGCTGCTTGAGTGGACGAATTGATGGATCAGGATACCAGTTTCGCTAGCTGCCTTTGGGCTTTCAACAACAACAACTACTACTACAATACCATTATTTCTTTATCCCTTGAGACCTCTTTTGTCTACATTGAGACCACACATAAGCGCTATCGATGACTCAAAAGCGGTGTCGATCGAAACTATCCACTGTCATCTCAGAGCTACAAGCGCAGAGCCTCATCGTACATGGGTCGTGGTTACTCGCGGCCGCAGAAGCCTCTCTGTTTCTTGTTTCAGGTGCATCCCAAAAACTCCGGGTAGACACCCCCCTGTAGATGCAGTGCAGCAGGCAGACACACGGACGCGCCCCTCAACTCTGGCCATTATTGGCTGGAAACGCCCCCGCAATTGCTGTCCTGTGATTTTCATCGAAATGTCCATGGATCCCTCCATAAACGTGAATTCGTTGCATAGCACTTGATGTAGTTGTTAGTTGTGGATCGCTTGAGTTTGGTTACTCGACTCTTCAACTTGCAAGTGAATCATCGTCTAATGGATGATTGTAAGTCGGCAGGTTCACTAACAAGTGGATTTTGAGCGGGGAATTGACCGAGCGTTTATCAGCGCATTCACTAACGTTGCATCCCAGAGGCCCTGTAGCCCCCACCAAAGCACAGCCCAAAACACGCGAGTTGTCGGACTGCCTGTATACATCAATAACACCATCCCAGGATTTGCAACCGTTTCAATCACTTCTTGAGAGCCTAGAAAGAGGAATAACAAGACGAACACAGAATTACCGTTAACTCAAGTGTAATCACACGTCACACTATGAGAACTAGAGTTACACCTGAATGGAAAGGAAATCGTCTAAGCAACCCCGCCATATCACGCCTTAGGTCTCTCACCTCCACACATTTGGGATCATTCATCCACACCCTCAAGTTCAAAGATACAGGAAACGCACGTGGCATGGCTATACTAGTCTCAGGAACGCGTTGATTTGACAGACGAGACTCGTCGAATTTGTAATTCCACCTATCATATGCTATCATTACCTATCGTTTGACTACACCATCTCATGAGTTGACTCAGATCCCCTGTCGTCATTCCTGACCCTTCTTCTCAGGATCCTCAGGGGTCGACAGAGCTAGTGTGTCCCAAACAGGATATATCGTCATGTGGGCTTCGGCATTTCGCGGTATTGAGTGAGGCGGCATGCTAGGATGCCTCGCTTCATATTCACGAGCCTGAGGCTCTTAGCCAAGGCGTTTAGGCACCACCTGATCACGAATGGCACGCGTCTAACAGAAGTGAAGTCTTCTCAAGTCGAGTAGAACCAACGCCCAATGCAGATGGCCAACACGTACACCACCACACTTCAGGAGTTCATACCGCCATGACACTCTTGCCCCCATCCTCAGTGACACGGTTGCGGATCCTGACCTTGAGCGCTCCGTGACCCAGACGCTTGACTTCACCCGACCTGTCAACTCCAATCACAGCACTGGGCGCAAACACAAACGCCTCGCCAATACGGAGCCGTACAATCCACGAAAACAGCTCCAGCGTCGGGTTGCTGCTCCCAAGCATCAAGGGCTCAACGCCGTCGTCGGAACTATCGTCAGCGCTTGAAGCAGAGTCATCCTCGTCCTCGACTTGCCGCAGCATCTTCGACGCCGAAGACACGCCGGCCAGATGTTTCTGCAGAGTGCGCAGCCAGTCGGGCGAGGTGAAGCGGTGGACGATGGTGACGGAGCACAGGTCGAGGAGCTTCGGGGAGATGGTGGGCTCCTGGGTCGAGATGAAGACGCGGGCGCCGAGGTGGCGCTGCAGGCGGATCGTGGCGAGCAGAGACTCGGTCAGCGCGGTGGAGTCGGAGGACTCGTTCATGTATTTGTGTGCTTCGTCAAGGGCTACGACTCGGCCGACGCTCGAGCTCTGCTCGAGGAACAGGCTGAGGCAGATGTTGAAGAGCGAGCAGGCCATCTCAGGGGTGACGCAGGGGCAGGACAGGTCGACGATTGTTAGCTGGCCGCGCTACGATGAAGTCAGCATCTTCCGGAACGTCGAGTCAATTCTGATATAATGTTGGCCAGGGGTGGGCACAGGGGCATACCTTGGGATCCCAGCTGGTTCCTAGCTTCGTCTGGCTAGGCGGGGCCATGAAGCTCTCCAAGGTGTCGAGACGTTGTCGAAGTGGAGCAAGCTGGAATTCGGAGAGCTCCTCGTCGTTGATGAGGTTCTTGAACTGCTCATAATTGAACTGAGTCCCGTTCCGCTGCTGAGCGATACGCATATCTCGAAGGATGCGGCTTATGACGTGGAGGTACAAGGGCGTATTGCTCGTCGAGAACGCCATCAAGTCAAGCATGCGCTTGGTGTTGAGGTCCGTCTCACGAATGCGTAGCTCCTCCACTTTGATCCGTGGGAACTTCTCGTAGGTCTTCCTAGCTGTGGCAATGTTCGTGGGCGGACAGAGAACCTTGACGTTCAGACTGCCGTAAGTTGCTAGGTAGGCCACCTCGCAAGGGTTGCAGTTCGAGTCGGAGAAAAAAGTGTCATAGTGGAAGACGATGCCGGTAAGGGGTCGAGGAAGCTCATTCGCCCGAGACGGGATCATGCAGTTCTCCAGGAGGCAGGACAGCGTATGGCTCTTACCAGAGCCCTGACTACCGCAGATAAAGACGCTTGACGGAGCGGCAACATTGTAGAAGATCCGGGGGTCTTTTGCAACAACCTGATTTGTATCGCCGCCAAGGAGGCCGTACTGAGTGAATGGCTCTGCCTGCTTAGAGAGTCTCAGCGAGTCTGCATGATGTCGCACTGGTGCAGTGAAGATAGGAGCCGTCTGAATCTCGCCTAACTCGTCCAGCCCATCCTTGACCTGGAGTAGCTTGAGATGAGGAGCAAGAGTCGTGTCGGCTTGCACTTTGTGCTTCTTAGCTGACCCGTGGCCGGCCTTGATCTTGGTGATATGAGGCATATCTGAGCAAATACCACTCAGGCAGGAGCTTGGTGTTTGCGAATATGTCTTGCTGACAAGATAATTAAGAAAGGGTAAGATGTAGGAAGAAAATTTGCAAAGCGACAAAAGTCGTCTCACTTTGCGAAGTTCAGCCTTTTCGTCTGATGTTTAATGTTGTGTTTACATATGACCTGCTGCGACAGAAGTGTGGCTGTGGAAGAGTTCAACCAACACAGTTGCTAGGCACTGACGATAAAACAAAGACCATGAGACCCTCGCAGGTTGAAACAAGGCTGAATGGAAACACCTCGTTTTCATCGCAGAAAAAGAGGAAATACACTTCAAAAGGACTCCTTACCTTCCTTGCTGGCCGTCAAAGAGATTTCCATGCCTTCGAAAGGACTCACTTGATTCTGTTTGCTTGATATTGTCAATTGACTTCCTGGCTTTCAGTGTCCAGAGAGCGAGCAGTCTGAGGTGGCATGAAACATTGCTAATCAAAATCACACTTGCCTCTCCTATGCCCTAAGTAACTTTCTATTTTCCGGCTAGCTGTGATCAGTGTTGCCAATTGTCCACAAATTTGACAAGAGGCAGCAAAAGTACCAGGCCGCGCTGAGGGTCTCGTATGTTCTGCGCCACCGGCTTTGCCAGGCCGCCGCCATCAGTCAGCCTTGGAGGCCAACATGCCATTATTATCCAGATTGTGAGTACCGCTATGTGCGAAACTGGCATCCTCTTCGACAGACTCTTAATGAGTGGAGTCTGTGAGGACTGCTCTGTAAAGTGTCTTTGTCAACACAATCGTCAACACAAGCAGTCGTCTAGTACCCCCTTGAATTTCACAGCAATCGACTACCTGTAAAACCCAGTCCCTACGATATGCTGTATCGCTCTCTCTATTTAGGTGCGTTGACTCATTCAAATCAGTCTGTGATCGACTACGATACCATAACATGACTGAACAACAAAGTGTCTGTACACAATGCAATATTCATTATACATGTGGGCATAACGTAAATAGCGAGTTCATGAAATACGCAAAGCATAAGAATAAAGACGAGAAGTATCAAAGAAGTGTCAAAGTGTACGAAGGCTATTTATCGAGGACGTGTTCATTCGGCAGCTTGGAGGGTAGGAAGGGGTCCAGGTTACACTTAACGACGCCATCATTTCTGTAGAGGCGGAGAGTGGTCCAGGATTTATCCCATTCTCTCAGTTTACTGAGTTCCCTGATTATCGGAGGTCCATATATATGGTTATCTTCGGGGATGATATTTGGATCGTCGACTGTGACATATAGCACTCTTTGGTGCTGTCCGATGAGCCGCCGTATCCTGTAGAGGATATCGTCAGGGCCTGGGTCGAGCGAAAGTAGAGTGTCGCTGATCAAGCTGTGCATAGTCAACGAGCATTCAAGTTGGAGGATCATGCGATCACTACCAACCTCATATCCGAAGAGATCGCCTAGGCATCAAGCAAGTATGATCGGGACCGCTGCGTTCTGTTTTGGTACTTGCCGGCAGGATGTGATATCGGTCTGCTTCTTTTCTCTATCTGCCTGCTTGCCTGCCCCATCCCCGATCCTTGCAAAGTACTGACTGCAAATGATACCCTCCTTGTTGCCCTCTCATTCATTCCCTCATTGACTGACTGTAGGGGGGGGGGGGGGGGGGTTTCTTCCTCCTATAAAAGGTACGACTACAACACAGACACCGAAACCCTCACCATCATGCTAGGCTGACCAGAAAGATTCTACAAGCACGTTTAACTGCTCCTCCAGTCTGGTCTGCAGCAGGTGCGATTGTGGGACAAAACGTTCCGCTGGCTTTTGCACGGTTGCACTCGGCAACACTGACTGTATTCATCGCAAAGATGCTTGCTGCCTTCTTACCTGCATTTTGTATAATAGAAGGAATGTTTAATATACTGGCACATCGTCTTGAATACTGTAAGGCATTTTGCGATTTGGACACATGTAGAAATTCCCTGGATCAGAGAACAAATTGATGTGCGAGAAGAGAAGCCTAATCGCTTTGGTGCGGGGGACAGTACTGTACTGTATTACAGTCTGTTTTTTTGGAGAGAAACCCGGTCAATATACCTATCGCTACTGATATATACTCTACCCGCCCCATCCTGTCAGCGGCTTAGCCCATGCTCTAGTGCCAATTTCGGATGACTTCTCGTAGCGTAAAGTACTCTCGTGTACTGCATGGTCTGTGTGCTGTAAGCGCATCAAAAGAGCAAAAGAGTAGGAGAGAACGCCAAGTTTCGCTCTCAGCGGTATCATGCAGGTTCGTTCCAGCAAACGATCATGAACACCGTGAGCATCGTTGGACAGATAAGGAGAGCTGTATTGTCAGCCTGCAAGCGAAATGCCGAGGTCCGTCAATGTCTTGTTGAGCTGGAGTTGCCAGCTCCCACCACCCTTCTGCCAGGGTAATAAACGCTGATTCTTGAAGAGTAAAGATACTTATCAAGCTCTCGAATATTCTGTTTATTACTATAGGTCTATCAACTTATACAGAGGTAGCAGTGTCTTGTTGAGGAAGTAGTGATACCCATGGCGAACTAGCATTTATTATTTATGAGCCTGGCGGCGGAGGAGGAGAAAGCTCTCCAATGTCTTGGCTACCACCAGTGAGGTGAGTGATCTGGTCTTTTCAGGCCAGTCTAGCGCTTCAATTGCGAGCCGGAGCTTTATCTTATCGCAGCTCGGACGATGCTCAGTTCGGAGCTTTGCATGGGTTGCCATCGAGATCCAAGCTGCGCTGGACGAATCACGATGCCCGCGGCGTGTCGTGAAAACGGCTGCACCCAATCATCGAGCTCGGCGGCAGGTCCATGCACTGGGAAATAGCACTGCAGAATCGGCTGCTGCTAGACTAACGTTAGTGGAGGGCAGACTAAGGATGCTTCTTCATGCTGCGAATGAGGAAATGAGGGAAGCTTGTCGAAACAAGAACCTGCAGACATGGAAGAGTAGTTTAATAAAGAAGGGAGAGAAAACGGCCCGTTGGGAGCAGAAAGCACGGGCTTCCATCCCACGAAATCGAATCCGACTGGCTGGGCAATAATAACAGAGAGAGTACGGGATCGGACTTTTGTGTAAAACTTATTCTATCTTGTGTTATGGGTGACTCTGGTAGGTTCTGTCTGCGAGAGCTTTCGGATGCTTGCTGCAAAGCGTAAATGCCCACGTCTCACCAAAACTCCCTCTTTCCTGCTCAAGCTCAAGCCCGGCTGGTGAAGACTTGTCATCATCATCACCCAGTCAGCCAGTCTATCCGTCTCTGTAAAACGAGATTCTCGTTGCCGACGACAGCGAAGAAGGGATGCAGCACAGCGGCCGTGTGCCCGCAGAAAGGAAACTTCCGATCGCCACCATCCAACATCCTTGCTGGCCACTGCTTTCTCACCAAACCTTCCGCATGCAATTTCGCCAGGGAGACGCGTAGGCGACGGCAATTTCAAGTTTGATAGCCCGTCGCAGTATCGCTCCAGCACCAGTAGCTCCAGCCTGAACGAAATTTCAAGGTCGCCAACAAAGCGACATATACCCCATATTACCTATCTTACCGTTGTTCGCTATTTGGTCTGTCACACGCTCCCCGGGCCCAGCCCGGACCTTGCCTTGGTTTTGGAAAGAATAAGAGGGGTGCGAAGCAGGGAAAAGACGTGACATTTCTCGCCCGCCATTGTAGAAGAAAACCTGTTCTGACTGCCCCCGAGCCCTCTCCCAGAAGTCGCTCCCGCCGCAGGGTCAACTGGAATGGGAGACCTTAAAGCTCGGATAAGAGCCAAGTTTTCGAGAAAGAATTCCGCAGCGGCATCATCCCTTGCCTCATCTACGAGCAGCCGCGCCGGCTCGGTCTCAGGCTCCAGGAGCAGCCAGCAGCCGCCCTCCATCCACCATGACCACCACCAGCACCAGCACGCTGATCTGTCACCCGACGCGAGCCATGTGCGCCAGGGCGACAAGTCGACTGTCTCAGTCTCAGTCTCAGTGACAGACGAGCGACGTCAGTCGCCGCAGCAGCACCGAAAAGGGGGCCTGGAAAGGGAGGGCGAGCCAAAGACGACACATTTCATCAAGGCCGGCCCCGAGGACGGTGTGGCTGACACGTCCCCGAGACGCTCAACAGCATCTTCCCGGGACAGGACTCCGCTGGAGCAGCAGAACCAGCAGCATTCTACGGGCAGCAATAGCAGTAGCGGTGGAGGTGGAGGTGTCGCTGCTGTCGAAGGCGCCGCTGCAGCAGGAGGAGGCGAGCTGACACGAATCAATTCCGCCGCTAGCGGGGACGCAATGGCCACAGATCAGCGCCTCTCCACAGGCAAACTCTCCAGCATCAACGAACACGGCGATTTTACCTCTGCCGCCGATCAACAACCGCAACCCACCACGACCACGTCCGTCGCTCTCACCGTCGCCGGCCCTACGACGCTAGACCTTGTCCCCGTGAAAGACTCGGCTTCCGACCACGACCTCCACCACGATCCGTTCCTCAGTCCAGCCCTCACCACTCCTACCGCCCGACCCGGCGCCATCACCCTCCCCGTCTCCGGCGCCAGTCCGACGACCGTGAGCTTGGCCGGCAGTGCCCTCCGCCCCTCACCTTCACCCTCACCCTCACTGCCGAGACCTGGCCTCCTGCCGCGGCGACAGAGCCTCTTCTCCAACGGGCAGACGACCTTGATCCGGACGCTGCTCAATGGTGGCGAAGGCGACCAGAGCGACCCCGCCAACGCCAATCAATTGATCCCCATCATCCCCAACATGGTAACGAGGAAGATATGGGTCAAGAGGCCTGGGGCTTCTGCCACCTTGGTCACCATCAATGAGGATGATGTTGTTGACGACGTTCGGGAGATGATCCTGCGCAAATATGCCAATTCTTTAGGGCGGAACTTCGATGCACCGGATTTGACGCTTAGGATCAAACCCCGAGAGCAACTCCAAGAGCGGACGTTAGGACCTGAAGAGCCCATGAGCCGTACCCTCGATGCATACTTTCCTGGCGGCCAGACTGTCGACGAGGCTTTGATCATCGATGTACCGCTTCGGAGAATAACGCCTAGGGCATCACCCAGAACTGGGCCTCCTCATGCTCCTCATATCACCTCGGCATATTATGCAGACGAGACGCGGCCATCCGAAGCCGGGAATGACTACTTCGGTCCAAGTGCCCTCTCGACAGCCAATATTCCAGTAACGGTGACGGCCGCATCTACCGGCTCGGGACATCATGCCATCTCCATCCTCAGCACTGGCCAAATACCCCAGATACCCTCTCCCGGCGGCACGAGGAGTCGGCCCTACCGAGAAAGACCGGAGCGTCCTCGGCTGGGAAGACAGCACACGTCGTCGCCGACCATCTTGAACATGGCGACTGGTGTCCACCCAGCCTCTATCGCCTCTACGGCTAACCACGGTACGCAAGGTACATTGCCTAGAGGAAATCGTTCAAGGACTCATTCAAACGCCTCCTCAGATCATTCAAATACCGCTCCCGTACCGCCACCCCTGCCCACCCCTCCAGCCCCCGACGCTGCCGCCATTCAGCGCGTAGCAACACCGCCACCCCGGGTCGCCTCGCCCCGCCCAACCGGCACCGTGCGGACGAAGAAGAGTAAGAAGACGGCCGAGCCGCCGTCGCTGCCGCCCGGCATGCTCAACGGCACGGTGCCGCCCATCAACGTGTTGATCGTGGAAGACAACATCATTAACCTGAAGCTCCTCGAGGCGTTCGTCAAGAGACTCAAAGTGCGATGGCAGACCGCTATGAACGGTCGCGAAGCAGTTAACAAGTGGCGGACCGGCGGCTTTCATCTCGTGCTGATGGACATCCAACTACCCGTGATGAGCGGCCTGGACGCCACTCGTGAGATCCGACGACTGGAACGCGTCAACTCGATCGGTGTCTTCTCGTCCTCGGCCAGCAGCGTGGCGCCGGAGGAGACGAATGGTCAGACGAAGGACGAGGACAGGCTCTCGAACACGGACATGTTCAAGAGCCCCGTCATCATCGTTGCGCTGACGGCCAGCTCTCTACAGAGCGACAGGCATGAGGCTCTAGCAGCCGGCTGCAACGATTTTCTGACCAAGGTATGTTCCCTTGGAGTTCCCTTGATATCTGTGAATAGATGCTGACGTACCACTAGCCTGTAAGCTTTGTCTGGCTGGAGAGGAAAGTGATGGAATGGGGCTGTATGCAAGCACTAATCGACTTCGACGGCTGGAGAAAGTGGAAAGACTACTCCCAAAAGGCAGATGAGGCCGCCGAGGAGGCCAAGAAGAAGGCGGCGGCTGCGAATGCTAAGAAGAAGAGGAACCGCCAGTCTTTGAATGCATCATGATGACGGCTGCGAACACCTACTACCACCAAAGTCTACACACGCACACCCTACACGCTTTATACGCACATTCTGCGCCTTGAGTCGTTGCTCTGCTTTCCTACACACACTTTACTATGTACGACTTTTTTTTTACTAATACCACCTTCTTACGCGAACACGAGGCATTACGGTCACTTCTTCATTATCAACATTTGAGCAAAGCGTATGGCGTTCTACACGGAGACGGAGTCTGTTCACATACACACAGGACGGACGAAACAAAGCGGCGATGGTGGGGGAGGGACGGAAGAGACCGTGGACTTCACTGGAGCTCGCGACAATACACGATCTGTGTGCATAGTATTATTGTACATTACACATGTCCTTTATTGTTTCTCTCCTTCTGCGAGGGCGGCAACGAGTGCGGACAGGAGGAACCAAAGATACAAAGGCTCAGAATGGATACCATGGCTGTTCAGTCAAATATCGAATAATACCCCAACTTGAAACGGGACACATTTTTGGACTGAACGTAAAATGCTGTGCGTGTATTTTCCTAAACTGATACATGCACTTTCCTGGGAATGCCTGTCCTTCGCCAGGTGATGGACAGAAACTAGAACTAGTAGTATAACCCACGCTTCCGTGTATAGTATATGGATGCCTGCCTTGCGCAGTCTTTCAACTCTTCATAACCTCTTCGTACCGAGGCGGCTGCTCCCCTCCCATCGGCTCCGTAGCATCATCGTTCACATCAACATACTCCTTCTCCTCTCCAGCAGAGAGCCGTCTAGCCAATCCGTCCGGCGGAGGCATGACCCCCTGAACCTGCTGGGGGCGAGAGTATTCTGACCCCTGGACTTGCTGAGCCTGCTGCTGATACTGTTGCCGTTCCTGTCACAGTCAGTTCTGGCAATATCTCAACCGAAGCAGCTTAGCTTGGCTTGTCGAAACGTACAGCCTGCTGCTGAGCCTTGCGCTCTTTGTACGACCCGATCAGCGACCTGATCAAGCCCGGTCCGCCGCCGCCGTGGCAGCCAGCATGACCGCCGCCGCAGCGCCTGCGCGGGCAGGAGAGGCCGTGTGCGCACGCTGGGTACGCGAGCATCCGGGGCTCGGTAGACGTGTGTGCGGGGGCGCAGCGTTTCTTGGAGGAGCAGCACATCGTGGGTGAAGCAGATGGAGTCTCTATCGCTGGAGGTGGAGGTGGGCTGTTGAGGCTCGTGGATAAGGTTGAATGTTCTAGAGATATTCTATGTTCGTTTCGTGGGTCGGAGTAGGACTGGACTGGCCTGGCACCTTTGGCTTTCTTGAACAACTATCCAGCCTCGGCCAAGAATCAATCGCCTTGCACGATCGTACCAATCCTTATATACATAGCCGTCCGTCGACCCTTTTCGCCCGCCATGACGCGCCAATCATCATTAATACCAGGAAATGTTAACTTGTATACACTTTCCCTCAAAAAAAAACTTCATGACGGACCTCCATTGCAAAGAAGTGACGATGCCACGGACCAACAATCAGCCCGGTGCTGGCGTGTACAGTGCAAGTGATGGTTCCCGTCCCGGGGGGGCGTCGCATTCGCTTATCGACCTGGCGCGGCGCCGGGGCCTGCAAATGCGAGATCCACTAGACCCGGGGCGGGCAAGCCACCTGTTGACTTGTCCTGAGTCCACGGACAGCCAACCAGATGTCTTTCTTCATTTGTTAACTGAGACGATGTGATTGAGTGGAGAGAGAGAGAGAGAGAGAGAGATCCTAACGAAGTTCATGAAAGACGTGCGAATATTAAAAGGATCTCTGACGTTGTCGCCCTCTTGTCTTCTTCAATCATCTATCCAGTATGCCCGAACAGCTCGAGGGACAGTCGAGAAATGATTGATGTCCATGATGCAGGGGCGAACTATAACTCGCCTACTCGGCACAGCATGCCTACTGGAAGCTGTATAGTTCCGGGCGAATCTTGGTCCGGACGTCGTAACATGCACATCTAGGCCTTGACACAGACTCCTTTCCGCAGGGAGATCTCCGGATATCACACACGCATATGGAACTTTCAAAACAGGATAACATCTCAAATAAACGATAGTCCTCGTCTGGTATCATTACAAAACTACTGTTACAGTATATCTATCGCCGCTCACCCACCCTCTCGGTGGTGGTATTAGCAGCAGCATCGCCATAGTAGGCGTGTCTCGCTCACATCCCCCCCATCTCTCGGAGGCTGTCGCAGGAAACATCTAAACATCAAAAGAAAGTGACACCTCGCCTCGCATGCTCACACAGTTCCAGTCAGCCAGCCAGCCAGTCAGTCAATCATCTCTGCCATTATCTCCGATGGCACCTCAAAACGCCCAGGAAACGAGCGTCCTTGTAATCCCGCAGACCATGAAAACGCCAATTACTTTCCACCTCATTAGTCCCTCCTGTCCGTCGTTCCCTGTCCCGCCTCTTGATGAACCCTATAATATAGACAGAAGAATATAAATAACCAATAGCGCTAAGTCACGTCGAAAATATTGTCAGATCAGGGAAAGCCTGGGATGTTGATCGAGAGCCTTTTTGGCTTCTCACAGTCCGAGGCGAGCGACTGTGTCGAATTGCGGTTGCTCTCAGGCATGGGTATTTCAGCTGCTGCTTGGAGTGTCTTCTCGGACGAGGTCTCGATGTCCGGCGAGACACTCAAGATTTCAGAGTGAGCCTCTTCTGACGGCGTAGCAAACACCTCCTCTTCCCTATCTTCCTCGTTTGGCGTCTCCTCTTTCTCTTGCTGTAGAGTCTCTTCCGATTTACCCTGCGAAGACTCTTGGCTCAAGCGAGGACTCTTCTCGCCCGTACTGCTACTTGAACCGTTGGCAGTCGCATGAGCTACATGGGTTGCGGGGATGACACCACCGCCAATGCGACTCCAGAACATCTGCTCTCGTAACCTCACGCTCTCTTCCCATGCTGCCTTCTCAGCATCTGCATCATCAGCTCTCCAGTGACCATCTTTGACTATCCTCAAGAAACCAAGGAAGTCACAGGTCGATCGGACGCGACCGAGGCAGTACTTGCAGAGCGGATAGCGCTGAGCCGACTCGTTTTCGCTCGTGCGGAATCGATGCGTCCGTAGGTGCTGCTCGTCCTTGCGTTGCTCACCGCAAAGCGAACAAGGATAGAGCTGCGGCTTGGTAATGTTTGCGAAGGGGCCCGTGGTAGGGACAGGTTCAACCACAAGTGTCCCATCACACATAGCACTCAGAACCGATCGTCGGGCAAGCCATGACAGTCCTGGGGCGATGTCTAGGCGCAAAGTTGGTTCGACATCTTCAGCCAAGGCACGCTTGTAGAACTTGGTGTCCTTCAAAGGCGGCAGCGGTGCCGATGAGAACGACCCATTGCTCAGGGTGGAAGCAGGTGTATTGGGTGTCTGCGGCGAAGATCCTGGTGCGGATGCAGGTGTTCCAGTAGTGGATAGAGAGGTCGTAGAACCATTTGACGGTGCGACATTCGCGCTGGCAATAGGGCCCATGCCGAGGACGCCTAGCCCGGTGTGCGTGCCCGAGGGAGGCCGACTCGCCGGCTTCCTCGCTGTCCTTATCAGCGTGATGAAATCGTCGTAAGAGGAAAGGTCTGTCCGGAGAACTGGCTGCAGGAGATGCGTGAAACTCGTGGGGCACGACGGAGTTGCAGGCTCTAGGTTAATCGACTGTGTGCCGCCGGGTGACGCTGGCATCTCTTCATCTTTAGAGTCGAATTTGCTGAACCCAGGAGATGACGGAGCCGTTCCTGCCGTCTGGTCGTCCTGCTCAGCGCTCATCTGCTCCATGACCTGCTTGAGCTCTGCAAGCTGATCTTGCTGGAATTTGAGAAGTCCCTCGGTGTCGTTCAGCTGCGCCCGTAGCTGGTCGTTCTTTCGCTGCAGAGCCTCTTGCTCTTTTCGTGCATCCTCTTTCGCCGAAATGACCATCTTGTTTGCCTCCTCGAAGAGCGCAGCCGTCAGGTTCTCCAATTCCTGCTCAATCTTCTTCTTCTCCTGCTCAACTTCTTGCTTGAGCCTCTTTTCCTCAGCGATCCGTGAAAGCAGCTTGGTCTTTTCGCCGTCGGCCGTTTTGCGTCGTATCCACACGTCTCCCGCCAACATTTCCCTCTGCTGCGCGATTTGTTCCTCTAGTTTCCTTATCTGATTCCTTGACTCCTCCAACTCCATCCTTGTTCGCGAAAGGGTATCATCTAGTGTCGTCTGGTTGTTGATGGCGTGGATAAGTTTCGTGCTCAGTGTCGCGACCTCGTCCGTAAGGTCGGGGTGATGGGAGGGACTCATGGCGCTCTCTGTGCTGGCCGGGCTCATTGCCCGACTCCTAGGATCGGGTATTGTGCTCAGGTCGAGATCGCCGTCGGCTGATTGTGAAGAGTACACCCTCTTGGGTTGAGGGGTGCTCAGGTATATGGCAGAGTCATCGCTGGACACGTTGGGGATGGCTGAGATGGAGGCCGACTTGACGCCGGCGTTGGCAGACTTGGCCGTCGAGCCGGTTATGCTGGACAGGGAGCGTATGTGGCCGACGCGGCGAGTGGTGGGAGGCGGGCTTTGGTACTGCGACCAGCCGGCGACGCTGATGAAGCTACTCCATTTCATGTTAGCACAAACACAAGCATAACAGGGTGCAATAAGCCTGCGCGCCCCGTCCGTATTCAATGGACAAGAGCCGTAAGTGGTGAAAAGTAAATCCAAGAACAAATAGTCCAAAAAGGCAGAGACCAAAAAAGCAGGAGGGGACAGCAAGTGTTAGGCGGCGCGACTCAAGTTGAGACACGTTGGATATGCATTCCAAGCAGTTTCGGAAGATGGGGCGGAAGTGAGGGAGGCGAGAGAGGCGGTTGGCTTGGGGTGGTACATACGAATCCAGCTTGTCAGATGCGGTAGGACCAGAGCGAGCTGGTCCTAATTCCTCAAATAGAAGGTTTGCTTGTTCCGAGACGAGATGCTAAAGTGATCTCGTCGACAATCGGGCAGCAGCAGCCGGGAATGTCTTCGACTTGAGGCAGCAACAACAATCGACGATGGCTTGGCGCACTTGAGAGACGAGCCCTTTAGAGAGAGTCGACCTGATTGAAGGTGAAGGTACCTAGGCTGGCTGTCTCTGAGGGTCTTCGTCTACGCCACGTAGGAGCAACGAGTGGCGGCTGGGTGGGAGATTGAGGTTGAGGTGAGACCTCTCGGGGAAGTAGCGTGTTGTTAGACGTAGTCGAGCATACCGAGACAGCGGCTGAGCAGATTCGCCAAAGCAGGTACGATCGACTCAGACTGCAGCTCTTTGGTGTGTTGTCACTACGGAATGCAAGGGGCGAAGCAGCAGCGAGTCCAGCAGCAGAGTTTGCGAGGTTGTTCGTGGCAATCGAAGAATGGTGGGAGGTTTTGGGAGGTGAACGATGAATGGTGTTGTTGAACAAGCAAACAAGCAAGCAAGCAAGCAATCGGAGAGCGGAGATGGCCCACGGACGGCACAAAAGTGAGCGAAGCACAGCTTAGTTAGCTGACCGATTCCTGCACGGATGCTGGCGGAAAGCGGAGAAGTGGTCCAGGATGGATGGATGGATGGATGCGGGTGGGAAGCTTTTTGCAGCTGGTCCAGGTGATGGAAAGGCGGGCTAGACAAGGGTCTATCCGAAGTATTGGAAGTATTGGATGTATTGGCCATGGGTCATGATGTAGCTCTACGGAATACTGCGTGCTATGCCTTATGCCCTCTCTCTTTTCTCCCCTCAACAAGCACAAGCAGGCGAGGGACCTGGACTCTACCGTAGACGTAGACTTCTTCTTACTCATTCAACCTGTCATCCTCGGGCACTTCAGCGAATGCGATTGATTGGATTGAGTGGATGGATGAAGCGATTACACGTGTGTGCAGATGCATACTATGTATGGCCCCCAGACCCCCAGGCTCTCTAGGCCTCTCGGCGGCTACGCAACTCTAGAACCCTCTCTTCACTTTTTAACGCTCGCTGTGCATGTCAGCATCCATCCATCCATCCATCCAGTGGCGACTTCGGAGCTGTCGGGTCTAACGTTAGTTGACCTTACTATGTACGCAGGCCAGACTGGACTGAGTTGTATACTCTTCAATTAAGCTCAGTCTGTATTCAATCAATGCATCTCATTGCTTGCTATTGTTTTGCTTGTTCTTTTTTTGTTGTTGTTGTTTTCTGGGAGAGCCGCCCGTATCAAGTCAAAAACGTCATCGTCCAATTTTTGTATGCAGGGTTCAGACCACCCCTTCGCCTTTTTTTCAAGGTTCAAGGTCCATCCCGTCCCTGCTTAACGTTAACTCACCGCGCGTATTCCTGGTCTCTGCCTTCTGATGCAAATTGCCTGCCCTCCCGTGCCTCCCTCTTCGCTTGTGTTTTGCACTCCTGCCATTTTTGGACTTATACCAAACATTAACGATAACGATAGCGTTAATACGACTGAATTGATGAACAAGGCCTGGTCTAGAATACGGTACGGCATTCAACAGCCATCGTATTCTCGCAAGACTAAAACGGCGCTTGACTGCTCGCAGCACATTGACTGACTGACTGGCTGACTGACGGCTAAGTTGACGCTTGGCGGCTGGCCCACCTGTGCGCTGGCTGCATTAGGTGTAACCACAAAGTCTAAACGGTGCTTCGACTGCCATGAGATGAGGCCCGAGAGAGAGCCTCCCCCACCTAACTACTGTAAGTCTCACCTGTCACCTGCCAACTTCGACTGCGATGGCCAGACATACGTCATTGTGTTGCCGAAATGCAATTTCCTTTTGCTGACTATTGTTGCGTGTTACGACGACAGCGACAGCGACAGCGACAGCGCCTGTCTGGCGCTGTTAGTTGTTGCAGACTGCGCTCAACGACTCGAGTGATGACACGAGCTTTGGAGGAGCACGCAGCTCATTGTCATCGCGTATCAGTCAGCATACAGTAGCTGATGAGTACAGCGTAGCAAACACTACCGGTACTCCGTAGAAATGTGGCAGACTACCTACTGTAGGTAGCCAACACACATTGCCAAACATAGATACGGGTAGTATATAGATTTTCCAATCCCTGAAGAGTGGAATGCGTAGATTTGGCCAGCTAACAGACCAAGGTGCATCATCTTGTGCCTGTTCAGTCACCACCATGTATGTCCCCTCCTTTGAGCGACACTCTGCAGATGCACAAGGCCTGGCCAAAGGTCTGCGCCCTCGAGCGTCATGCAGGGTGATTGTCTGTTTGCCATGTATACATACCCTATGGAATTATCTGGGCATACTGTAATTGCTTGTTATCGCCAACACGTTATCTCTTTGCATTGCAGTTGCGACTACGAGAATCCTACCAATTGTGACCCCTCCATAAGGTTTACGTTCCATATTTTGCATGCCGCAGGGAGCAGGGAGCGACCTTTGCATGTTCGTTCTGGGAGCTAGCAATACCTGCAGATATGACATGCAGTCCATAATTGTTGGAGCTTAGAATTAGGCATCGCCCGCTCAAAGGCTTCTTTGATCTGCGCTACATAGTCCTCCTTGTTCTTGAGTTTATTTTCGATGAACTCCTGGGTCCGAAAACCCCAATACCAAAAGAAGACACGATCGAAAATGGATTCACCACTATGCTCCTCGTTGAAGCGCGGTTGAATGTTGGCATTGAAGATCCTGTACATGCCTTTGGGTACCCTGATTGCCTGAAAATACCAAAAGCTGCCCGTTTCCCATACATGACGCATGATGGGGCCGTGAAGTACAACGCCATTCCTAGCCAATTCCTCAGCTTCGTAGATGTCAAGAAACTCACTGAATAAACAACCTAACTCCGAGACAGCTTCGGTGTTATCGAAGTCGTCGATTGGTTTGGACGTGAGCCAGTAAGGTGGAAGCTGCATCTCTATGGGTTGTGACTGCGCCCACTCAAGGTCAATAATAGTCTGAATATTCCATTGCTCGTCGACGAAGATGTTGTTTTGTTGGAGGTCTGTGAGCGTGTAGAGGAAAGGGCCATCTCGATAGTCAGTACGGATGAAGAGATGCATGGTAGCTCGTAGGGCAGTTAGAGCTGCAAGCTGCATTTCGCCATCTTCTTGGTCATGGATGGCATTCGGCTGATGGAGCAACTTGTTATCCTGGAAACTAAGAAGGTCGGAGATATAGGGTTCGATTGAAGAGTAAGTCCTCCCCCGTGGGATGCCGGATGGAATACCTTCATTCTCAAGAAGCTGGAGGTACATATTCAGGGGGCGGTTCGAAAGGTTGACGACGCCCGTTGAGTCGAAGCTAAGGGAGCCAATTCGTTGCATAGGGGCACTGTTCATTGACAGAGAGATACGCGCGATGTCACGAAAAAGCCTTTGTCGGTAGGCCTTGTCATGTCGGTGCTTTTCCCAAGAGATAGCAAGAGCGCGCCCCTTGGCTTCGCCGAGGATCATATATCCAGAATCGAAGGGGTTTCGCAACCCACGTCGTACATAATGAGATGGGACTGGGGAGCCGAAGAAGGCAAGCAGCTGGCATCGCAACTGCCACAGTATTCTGGACAGAAATGGCGTGTTCTGTGGGTGTGAAAACTACGTAAGTCAGGCTATGCTCAATATCCTAGGTCGTTTGGCACAGAGCTTACGCAGGTACCGTCGGGGAGCCCAAATCCGTGCAAAATGGGAATCGGGACATCCGGACAATTTTGCTGAAGCCATATGTACGTTGCGATTTCCGTTCGCAGCTTCTCTTCCACGTTCCCCGGATGCTCGCCCTCGCCAACCTTGTGTGGCAGTGGAAAGCGGACATACACTCGCTCGTTACCCCGACGGCCCTTAGCCCGGATAAGGACAGGGAGGACTACGTTGAAACTGCCTGCCTTCCAAATTTCCGTGGCGCAGACATAGCACCAGTCAACGCCCAAATGATCACGGACCAGAGCCTCGATCTCGGCTTTACGGGCTTCCAACGAGGCCCAGAACTTCTTCTGCTGCTCCGGGTAGCGTAGCTGGACCAGCACGTTTTCATCCTCCTCTAGCGCATCTTCGAGGCTCATTCGCCCTCGAAGAGTTAAGAGGCTGCCCATTGAGGCAGAGTAGGATGTTGTACACAACCATCTGTCCAAGCTCACGAGGTTGGTGGTGATAGCAGTCCAGTACCGCGTTGGCGGGAATGCAGTTGATCGACGCTGACTAACACATCCCCCACCAATCTCGGCAAATTGATCCTCGACTCCGATACCTGCTGGAGATTCGAAGTATACATGCAATAGAAAGTGATAGCTGCATCGTCAATATCCCTTGATGAAGTAGCAATAGCAAACCACCCAGCATGGTATATCATGGTTATTACTGTCCGCTAGGTGCTACGGTAGTGAATGAAGATCTTGTGGCCGCTCCGGGTCTTGTGGTCGCATTCGACGGGGAGTCCCTTCGATACCCGGTTCAGAATCGACAGCAAGAGCTCCTGCAACCTGCTTATGCGCCTCCACCTTCACGTTCTGCTTTTCACTCATGGGGATCAGTCCTGCCTTCCGTTCTCTAAGCTATGATGACTTCGTTGTGCAAGCCTGTATACACTAAATGCTGTGCCGTGATACCGCAGAATTGGCAATCCTTTAAGTCCTAAGGGCGATGGCGATCGATAGGATCGAATCCGCCAATGTTGGCCATCCTTCATATCTAAATACTATATCAAGTCTTCACTTGAGATCTACTTTACCTTTCACTCGGGAACCACCTTCGCTTCTTAGAAGAAGCTTGTCGGAATGGATATCACCGGATATGCCTTTGTTACGGGCGGAGGTAAGAAGCTGTACCCGATGCCTGCTTGCCCTGAAGATACTGGTCCTTCTCCTCTATTCAATTCAGTGTTCCTGACCTCTCGTTCTAGGAAGTGGAATTGGCAGGGCATGCTGCGTGGCCTTTGCCAAAGAAGGTGCTCGCGGCTTGGTTGTGGCAGACATCAACCTCGGAAATGCACAAGAGACGGCTGCTCTGGCAAAGTCTGCCGCCGCGCATCCTGACTTCCGCGCTGAAGCTATCCAAGTGGATGTGAGCGTCGAAGAGTCTGTCAAGAGCGCTGTTGCCCATGCCGTTCAATACCTGGGGCGCATTGACTACGCAGTTCACTCTGCAGGTGTAAGTGCATGACGTTCCCCTGGATATCGTCGTATCAACAGAATTTGCCCTTGCGTTCGTTGCCTTCACCACTGAACCGTCAAATTGACAGATTCCCGGAGGAACATTTGACCCTATTGCTGAAGCTAGTTTCGTCGACTTCAAGCATCTGATGGATGTCAACGTCCACGGGACCTTCCTCGTCACCAGCCATGTTTCCGCAGCCATGACAACCCAAGAGCTCAAGCAAGCAAGCGCCACTGATCCCGCTCGTGGTGCTACACGCGGGGCCATCGTAAACATGTCTTCGGTCTCCTCATACATGGCAGTACCTAAAATGGTGCAGTACACCACATGCAAGCATGCCATTGTCGGCATTACCAAGACTGCCGGTGAGTAAATTTCCATCCCTCTGTCGTCGGCAGCACATTCTGATGAAGCCCTGTAGCTCTGGACAACGCACCGCTCAGCATTCGAGTGAACTGTGTTTGTCCGACCTGGACGGACACGCCCATGACTAGGCGTGCTACGGACGTAGCTCCGGGGTTGGAGGAAGCCCTGTTGGCTACCATACCAATGGGACGTCTGGGCCGGCCGGAAGAGGCGGCTGATGCTGCTGTATTTCTCTGCAGTCCCAAGTCAAGCTTCACCACTGGGACGAACTTGGTTCTGGATGGGGGGATGACTCTGTCATGCAGAAGTTAGTTGACACTGAGGGTTTTCGTGTTGTTGCGAATATCAAGGTATACGCTTCAGTGCTCGCAAGCACAGGGAATGGATTGGCTTCGAGGTACCGTCCGTATTTACGCTCCGAGCCCATTGTGCTATAAGTTATAAGGCACTTCTCAAACAACCGTGCGAAACGAATAATTGCACCCCCTTGACACACAACGGGAGAATCTTGACCCTCTTCCTCTCAACAGGCACTCCCGGGTGAACATGTGAGAATTGAATCAGACAGATACCATCTCAACTACACAAGGCTGAACAATTCGTATATTGTTTCGGCCTGAGCCCTGAGTAATCGATCGTAGAATATATCCCCTAATTTGCCTTCAGTGCTGATGTAAGTCAATGGAAGTATGTTAAATGCGACCAACCAGATTCACCCACTGACCTTTTTGGGTGGAATATGAACGCAATTTGGTACATCCATTCTTGGCCAGGGTGATTGAATTTGAGGATTTGTGAAATGCATAACAGCAATGCAGATTCATGGAAATGGTAATGGTAGTATCTCAGTCTTCAAGTGACACAAACAAAATTCACCGGATCGCCTGAGAAGGCTGGATAAGGAAAACGCTGGCGGCTGGACAGTCTGTACAGATACATCGTTCTGCAAGAAAGTGACAACCGGACAAAATCAGGTGCGCTGAACCAGGAAACTGGCGAACGCATTGTTGATCCCGCGGACTGATGCACCTGATCGTCGGGTTCCGGCTCATCCATCCAGCCCCTCGTCTCGTCTCTCTCAGCGGTACTACCTCCCAATCCTGGCAGGTCTGGCTACGCACCCTCCACATGCAACTCTCCGGCGAAAACGCAGATGCATACAAGCGCCCGCAGGGCTGCATCCGTGCGGTAGAGAATCAATGCGTGTGGAGTGCGTCTCGTTGGAAAGCTGCGGAAGGCTTCCAGATAAGCCAGCATGTTAATTGAAGCAGGGATCTTCAACCCATGCAGTCTAACTCGGGACCTAATCAAGTCCAGGACAAACACATATACAGTTATTTTGAATCAACTGTATAAACATGAAGACTGAATAGTCGAGAAATCTCTCGGGCCGCCCAACCATCGCATCCGCCAAAGAGCCTCGTCTTTCTACCCCCACGACCCCTGACAGGAGTGAGGAAGATGCCCTTTTCAAAGCCATCGTGCTTGAGTCGGGCATTAAGGGAGATGTTTCAATGGCCGGCAGCAATCACAAACAGCGTACAACCCAGCAAGTCCAATCTCGTCCCGTCTCTGCAACTCGGATCGTTTCATGGAAGGAGTCTATTCCATCTGGTCACTCTGACCTAAATTTACCCCTTACGCCTGCTTGCGCGGGATGCAGTCTCTTGCGAAAATCGCCTGGACCCTTGCTGTGTGGGTCTATCGTCCATTCTTGATTTTCAAATCGGCCATCTACTTACATTAATCAAGCTAATCTCCAAGTTTCAATGTCAATTTGTCACTACCACAGCGCAACAAAGCTCGCATTTCTTCTCTCTCATAAGTACATATAGAACCTCTTTTCAGTAGATAGGCACACGAGCCGCATCTGTAGTAGAGAAGTAAGGAGAAAAGCGTCTAATAGTCTAAGACCATTACTATCGATTGAGATCTATCTTACAATATAATAATTTTACTATAAGATTAATAAAAAATCTCTATAGAGGTTCAAGTACATCGACTATTTCTCTGTCATGAGAATATTGAGTCAGATTGACTAGAGAAACATCCCTTTCTAAGGGTTATTGCCAGCAAGATTGTTGAGAGTTCTGTTAAGATCGCTTCTGTCTTCTACGACATATAGCAGCCGAAAGATCTGCTCTGTTAGGTGGTAGCTTAGCACTGCCAATACGGCGGCGACGTGTATCTGCTAAGCCAGTTGTGAATTTGACGACGGCAGAGGGATCTTGCGAGACACCGTATCATGCTTCCGAAGTGCTTCCCAGGCGCCAACATCTTTGCCAGCGACAGTGACGAGACAGATGGAGCTTGACGAAACTGTTTGAAGACCTGCTGGCCAGGCTATTCACTCTAACAGATTGATTGCTGTCTTCTTGAAAATACTGGAAAGTTCGCTACCTCCAAGGCACGAACGGTTGCTGGCCAGCTAGAACATTCTGAGCTCTGGAACGACGACATCGCGGCGATGAACCCGGCTTGGAGACCATGTGGAGAATACGCGCAAGAAGACGTCTCTCGGCGTCGCGGGTCGCCATGCCCTACCGTAGGCCGTTGTGGCCTAGCTCCTGGATCAACCGCGATATCTCCTTCTAAGAGAGCCTATGCGATTTTGAAATTGAGTGTAGAATGCGATCAAGGGAGCAAAGTATGATTTTCTTTCGTATCTCAGCCTTATCGTTCTTCTGCTGCAATGTGATGGGCGAGACTTGCCGTTCCGCCGCACCGTTCACATAGAAGATTCCGGTGGCTGGGTGTCTCACCTGGCGGATACGAAAATATCGAATGTAATGCTTGCGTGACGTGACTCTTGATCGTTATTGGCTTGCGAGGCTTGCGTATTGAAGTTAATTCTAACTGTCATTTGCTCATCTTCCAGTGTGTCTAACTCTTTCGTATTGCATATACCCAAACAGCGATTCAGTTTGTTCAGCTCGTTGATGTAGAGCGAGACACCAGCATAGCATCTAAGACTTCGCCTTGCATTCTGGTGCATTGTGTCTCAACACTCCAAGAATTGATACGTATGGCAGAAAGTAATGTACCGATCTGTCTTGAGAACTTTGTTAGTATCCATTTATCGAGTCGACAATAACTGTGAATACGCCACCGAAGAATGTGCTGTATCTTTTCAAGAGTTTTCTTTTATGAAGCTCCCATCCTTTCAGGGGATGAGATCTTCAACTCTGCATCATTATCATATTTTCATACTCAACAACATAGGATCTGCATATTTGAAGTTTTGTAGCTTGGTCAGGGGAAACTCTGATTGAGGTGCAGTTGCAAGTATATATAAACGTAATCTGTCGCCTTCATCCATGGCTTTGATTCTGAGTATTCAATAGATTTTCTTTATAGAGTCTACTACTGCTAAAATAGCTTTTGTTCGAGCACTTTTTAAGTCACACAGATAAACAACATGAAGACATTCACTGCTTTCGTGGTCGTTCTGGCTTCTGGCGCTCTCAGTGTTCCCCTTAACAAGACACTAGACGCCAAGGACATCATCACCCCCCTGCCAATCAATATGACCTCCTCACCGCTCCTCACGGCCAAGGTCAATGCTACAAAGGCTGCCAATATGCACTATACGGAAATGGTTGCAGATGTAGTTGCGAGGGATATGAACAAGCACGAGGAGAAAGCGACAACAGCGGTCGACCGAAGCTTGAACATGAACATGAATACGACTGCTTCTGAGGTCCTTGCAAGAGCTTTGAATATCAGCACATCTGATTCTGAGATCGAGGGCATGTCTAAGGAGCAAGTCGAGTACTACCGCACGCTAGCCATGGCTCAGGCCCACGAACAGTTCAAGCGCAACATGGACGTTTCGTCCTCGGGCCTCGCAGCGGCTAACTCCACCCCGCCTGTCCCCGGCGAGTGCCTCATCAACGGCCCCTGCCCCTTTCTCGGTGGCGATGGCCTTTGCAACAACTTTTGCCAGAAGTGCGCCCCCCCTGGCAAGCAAGGCCACGGCAAGTGCGAGGGCTTCCTCTTTGTCTTGTACGTATCCACACTTTGGACTAATGACCTGGCTTGCTAACTTTTATAGGAGCTGCACCTGTACTTTCGACTAGGTACAGACGCCAGCAGAGACCCCCTGTCATGTCCACTGATGTCTGTATCTATCCAATGAATGGTATGAACGACATCGCCATGACTGTCGACATGCTCCTTTGTCCGCTGTCGATGTTGGTGTTTGTTTTTGGTTGCTGATGTAGGAGGGGGTTGTAGCGCTTATGTCATAACTTGATGATCTAATGCTAGATGATGGATTTATATTTTTTTATTTAAGAGTGCAGGCTGAATAGATAAATAGTTATAAACGGGTGACTGTTTTTGAAAGTGAGATTCACTTCCCGAGTGTGTCTTTTACATGTCAATTCTTGACTCAGCATGTAGATTCAAGCAGCCGAATGACAATTTCATAGAAGACTATCAGAGAATCACCTTCATTCTCATTCCCCACGGAGAGGCAGCCCAGATAGAGGGAACAAATTCGGCCTTGTGAATTCGTCAATACAGCACTAACCACGTTGGTCTTTATTCTTATATCACTTAAATTATAATAGTTATACTGTAGGGATCAATAGGGACCTTTATGGGGGTCAAGTGTAGTAATCTGGTGGCGCCGCAGTAATTAGTTGGTGGGTTATGAAGTTCTACTTATACCTTGACACCGTTTTTATACATACAAAGCTACCCCCATCTAGCATTATAAACAGCACGCGCTCAACATAGATGGAAGATGCCAGCCACATGAACGAACAGGCTTTGTTTTTTGGCCCTCTTTCTCCCAGTCCTGTAGTCTAATAAGTGTCTCTTGCGTGTCAGGGTGGTCTATACCCAGAATATCAGACTGCAACTGGAAGCATTCTGTCATCGAAGCCACAGCCTTAGAATACTGGCCACGACTATACCAGATGATGGCCAGATCATGCATAGCGTCGAGTGTGTCTGGATGCCTATTACCGAGTATTTCCTTTCGCAGTGCCAGCACTTGCATTGATAAATTCTCGTCTTCTTCATACCGTTTCTGTCGATAGTATGTTATAGCAAGCTTAGATATAGCTTCAACGGTATCAGGGTGTCTATCATCGAGTATCTCCTTTCGTAGTGCCAGCACTTACACTGATAACTTCTCGTCCTCTTTATACCGTTCCTGTCGATAGTATATTATAGCAAGCTTAGACATAGCTTTAACGATATCAGGGTATCTATCATCGAGTATCTTCTTTCGTAGTGTCAGCACTTACACTGATAACTTCTTGTCTTCTTTATACCGTTCCTGTCGATAGTATATTATAGCAAGCTTAGATATAGCTTTAACGATATTAGGGTATCTATCATCGAGTATCTTCTTTCGTAGTGCTAGCATTTACACTGATAACTTCTCGTCCTCTTCATACCGTTTCTATCGATAGTATGTTATAGCAAGCTTAGATATAGCTTCAATAGTATCAGAGTGTCTATCATCGAGTATCTCCTTTCATAGTGCCAGCACTTACACTGATAACTTCTCGTCCTCTTCATATCGTTCCTGTCGATAGTATGTTATAGCAAGCTTAGACATAGCTCGAACAGTGTCAGGGTGCCTGTGGCCTAGCAGCTCCTCTCTGAGTGCTAGCACTTCCACCTTCATCTTCTCAGCCTGGCTATACCTTCTCTGTTGATGGTATGTTGAAGCGAGATCAGACATAGCTTTAACAGTGTCAGGGTGCCTGTGGCCTAGCAGCTCCTCTCTGTGTGCTAGCACTTCCACCTTCATCTTCTCAGCCTGGCTATACCTTCTCTGTTGATGGTATGTTGAAGCGAGATCAGACATAGCTTGAATAGTGTCAAGGTGTCTGTAGCCTAGTAGCTCCTCTCTTAGCGCTAGCACTTCTATATCCATCTTCTCAGCCTGGCTATACCTTCCCTGTTGATGATATGTCGTAGCGAGTGAAGCCATGCCATCTATGGTATCAGGGTGTTTTTCTCCTAGAATTTCCTTCCGTAATGCTAATACTTCTGTTTTGATCATCCTGGCCTCCTCGTATCTTCCTAGTGTATGATATGTTGTAGCAAGTGAAGCCATTCCCTTGATTGTGTCGACGTGTCTTTCACCCAGAATCTCCTTCCGTAATGCTAATACTTCTGTTTTGATCATCCTAGCCTCTTCGTATCTTCCTAGTGCATGATACGTCTCAGCGAGCGAAGCCATTCCCTCAACTGTATCGATATGTCTTTCACCCAGAATCTCCTTCCGTAATGCTAATACTTCTGTTTTGATCATCCTAGCCTCTTCGTATCTTCCTAGTGCATGATACGTCTCAGCGAGCGAAGCCATTCCCTCAACTGTATCGATATGTCTTTCACCCAGAATCTCCTTCCGTAATGCTAATATCTCAGTATCCAGTACCATACTTGCCTCGTATCTTCCTAGGCCATGATATGTCGTGGAAAGAAAGGCCATACTAGAGATTGTGTCGGGATGCTTGCCACCCAATATACTTTTTCGAAGCTTATATGCCCGTTTGTCCACTGGCTCCTTCTCTCTCCACCTTGCGCGGTCGTAAAGGTAGTAAGAGACTTCGCTTAGAAGATTAGATGCGTCTTGCTCTCTTTCACATAACTCGGCCCACTCGCATACCTGTTGGGCATGTGATAGGTATTTCTCGCACCCATCCCATGATTCCGGTTGACTCTGAGGAAATAGAGCGTCGACAACTTCGAGGGCTGTCCTCGAGAAGAATACCTCCTCCGCGTGTCGGCTTTCCCTGCCCAGACTATATCGTGTAGCCTCTTGTACCAGTTTATGCATTTCAAATGCCCGGCTGTTGTCTTCAGACTTTCGACCATGAAGGAATGAAAACTCTTGAAGTCGAGCAATGGCATCGATTACATCCTGAAAGTTCTCGTCGTTATGGTCGTCCTCGTTGTCGCCATTGGGGTTGACGCCAGCGGCTAAGTCAGTGCTCTCGGTGGTGTAATTGTTGCTGACAGCCTCATCCACGTCTTTCGATACTGCTATTTGCCGGATAATTTCAAAAGGTATGTTCTGATTATCGAGAAAAGCCAGTATATGAAGAATGTTATATGACAGTCTGTTCTCGTGTTGAATGTGCTCGATGGAGATGTCCCAAGTCCCAAGGATACTATTCGACACATGGGGCCGACGGTGGCGGTCGAACTCTGTTTCCTCGAGAAGTCTCCACCTTTTCCTCCGACTACTTAGCATTGATAAATATTTCTTAACAGATACTGATCTTCTCCGTATATATGCGGCAGATTGAGATATAGCAAGTGGGAGCCATTCTAGCTCCCGAAGGAGTTGGTCTGCATCGGCTGCTTCATCCTCCTTGATATCCATAGCTCTGACAGACTCGAACAGTGCCTTTGCCTCGCCGTCTGTCATTCGAGCCACATTGATCGCCCGTTTGGCGCCGACGAGAGTACCACAGATTCGCTGGTCACGGCTCGTCCAAAGCACTGTCCCCGTGATAGCATGTGGTATAAACTCATATAGGTTGTGTACTTCAACTGCTGTATCGTTTTGAGATGTTTGTTGAGGCTTTTGTCCAACTCCAAATAAGCTCAGATCATCTGCATTGTCGAGGATGAGGAGCCAGGAGGCACTGGCTGTAATTCGCTCGCACACAGCTGCCAGCAGCTTGGTACCATCTAGACTGTTGTCCACGCCCAACTTCATTCCAATGAGTTTGTAATCTTGAGTGAAAGTAGTCACGCTGTCGGCGTGGACCCAGAATATTGAGCAGGAGGAGTCGATCTGACTTCGTCGGTAGGCATACTCGAGCGCAACTTGCGTTTTTCTGTCTCTGTTAGTGTGGGTCGCAGGAGACTGGAGGGTTCTATCTCACCCCGAGCCGCCTAAGCCCCAGAGGGCCGCGCTTTGTGATTTTGAAGATGGCGGAAGCAGCTTGTCGAGTTCGGCGAAGATGTGGTCTCGATTAACGACATCCTCGTTACGCGGAAATGGGATCAAGCGGCAGGGAGAGGGCGATTGGCTGGAGCCTATTCAGAGTTATAGACTGGTTTGAGTTTCGGAGTTGATGCTCTGTTACCTCCTGAGTTGTTGAACGTAACGTTCAAAGTGCCCCCGGAGACGTGTGTCCCAGCAATGACATCCCGGCCGCCGATCGGACCAAATGTCGGAGGTGGTGGGTCCATCGGGCCGGGCTTTGAGAGATCCACTCCGGTTTTCCGGAGACTCGCTACCGATTTCAGTGATCTACTTTTGTGTTATAGTATTCGACAATGAAGAGATCGCGGGAATAAAATGGCTCCTGGAACATGAGATCCAGGTCAGTGGTGGTTGAAGCGGCTGAAAGCTGCACAACAACCAATAAAGATGGACGAGGCTGCTTGCCCTCGGCGGCTAGGCATACTGGTCGAGACTCTCGGAGCCTCATCTGGCATCTTCTTCACCAGCTCATACAGTTATCATAGATCCACTATATAGATACGTAGAATTTCTGTCATTCAATGCCCAAATTAGATCCTTCATTGTATACTGTGGCATGGCTTGCCTTGCTTGTAATAATCGTGTCGCTGTCGGGTATGCCGATTTTGGATTCGCTCGTTAGGCCCCTCCAGGGCTGGACCCCAACCTACCCCGTCCAAGCAGATCCCTGCTTCTTGGCCTGACTTTGTTGGATAAATACTCCATGCCCTCGTCTTCGATCATCCTTCCCATTTTCCTTTCGGTTCCTTCTAGTTCAGCTGCTCCGCATTTCAACTAATGACAAAATTGCCGCGCCCTATATAACGCTTCATCCACATCAGCAGTTAAGGCCGAGACATTCTCATAGAAACGAGGTAAAGCGAGGCGCCCCGTTCCCAAGCATCTCCGGTTACCGAAAAATACTGACTGGAGAATAAGGATGTCTTGTCAGTGTGTCACTCTGTATTACTCAGTTCTCAATCCCCCGGTACGTAAGAAGTAACGAGAGCCTGATAATGTCGAGTTCGCGCAGTAGCTTAACCAGATCCAACATGATCTATACAAGAGAACGTCCTTCTCAACGTTTAGAAGAGAGGGGAAGCGTTGGGTCCGTAAGATTCAGAAGGAATCTAGACTAAACCAATGTCGCAACATAGTGTCTATCTGGATGGCATCGGATACGTGATGCTAATTCTTCTATTATGGTGGGAGACCCCAAGGGGCGGTCACCCAGCAGAGAAAAAGGGCTTCCATTCGATTCACGAGCGTAGCGCATGCCACGCCAGGAAGAGTCTGCCTGACCAACGGACTTCGTTGCCCCAAAAGTTGACTTGGCCCCGCTGCGAACAACCGACGCCGTTGGCACGGCGGGGGTTGGCCCTTGTGGGTACCACTATCGCTAACCTATGACTTTACAATTTTCTTTTTGCTCTAATTCCACTAACCCAGATTGGTGTAGTGGTAGCACGTCCGGAGTCACCAGAAGAAGCCTACAGAGCGGACGCTGGCCCGTCGAAGGGGCGGAAGCGCCGGGTTCGAATCTCGGATCTGGGAATTTCTTTCTTTCTTTTTTTTCTTCCTTTTCACTCAGCCAGCAGTTTTTTGGCTTGGGAATTTTTTTCCAACTTTTTTGGTATGCTAAAAACCATCCTCTCGGAGATCATTATCCTCCGTTACAGTGACGCAGGGATCACGGGTTTGCGTGTGTTGAACTGTGATCAGAAGACGTAACATAGTACGTGGTTCCTAGACAAGGCTGCGTTCCAGTCCGTGCACTCAGTTTTTCTTTACTAGTTAAAGGGAGAGGAGGTTCAAGAGTTAGAAAAAGGGAAGTAAGTAAGAAGAAGAGCATTCGCGTAGTTCTTCAATTCAAGAGACATCTCTACTCATCTAATCAGGAAGATCCTATAGACTACGTGACAAAACCTCCCTTACAAGCCACTTGATTATCGCCTTTGTCTTCCAGATCGTAGAGACTTATATGATCAGCAAAGTATCTAAAGAACCCTTAATACCTACCACTAAATTCTAACACACTCCTTAAGACAACCCAGCCGCCTAATCAATCAAAAGCAATCACAATAGAGGCGTCAAAAACCTCTCCAAGCCAACATCAAGATCACTAACTAAGCCTCAATAACAAGTTTCCAAATATCAAATAAGTTTAGAACAGTAGAGATCTAGATCGATAGTTAAAGCAGCTGAAAATTACACAACAGCCAATAAAGATCGACAAGGCTGGTAGCCTCGACAGTTAGGCATACTCGCCAAGACATTCGGAGCCTCGTCTAGCATCTACTTAGCAGGCTCATACAATAATCATCGATCAGCTATATAGATACCCAAAGCTCCCATCATTCAATGTATGAACTAGACCCTTCATTGTATACCGTGGCATGGCTTGCCCCGCTTGAAATCGAGGTGCAAGCGGCCCTGCATATGCTGGACAACGTACACGACGGCCAATTTGCACTGGGCCGAGGCGATGATTATGTCTTTCATGCTGGCGATATATGCGGGCATAACATAATCGTTGCCACTCTCCCTGCAGGTCAGGAGTACGGCACCGGCTCCGCAGCCGCTCTCGCCAGCCAAGTCAAGAAATTCTTCCCCAACCTGTGGTTTGGGTTACTGGTCGGCGTCGCCGCTGGTCTCCCGAATCTGTCCACAACTCCACCTCGTGACATCCGCCTCGGCGATGTTCTAGTTGCGCTGCCAGAGGGGAACAACGCTGGGCTGATAGCCTATGATCTGGGAAAGGAGACTGGGAAGGACGGGTTCCAACTTCTGCGTTTCGGGCATGTCCTTGCTACCACTGAGACGGTTATAAGGTCTGCTATCGGAAGCATCAAACTCAAGGCACCGAACGATGCCAAGATATTCCTACCCTATTACGAGACCATGAAAGAGGAGGAGCATATAAATGGGACATTTGTTGATCCTGGTCAGGATCATGACATTTTCTATGAAGTAGATGATCAGGGCGTAGAGAAAATTGTCGAGCGAGCCCGCCGACCAGACTCCAAGCGTACGCGAGTGTGGTACGGGCCGATCGGGTCGGGAGAGAAGTTAATGAAGAACGCTCAAAAGAGGAACGAGCTCCGAGACAAGTACGGCGTGATTGGCCTTGAGATGGAAGCTGCCGGCACCATGAATCGGATACCCGTTGGTGTCATCCGCGGTGTTTGTGATTATGGAGATGAACACAAGAACAAAGATTGGCAACCATACGCCGCCGCCATGGCTGCTGCGTATGCCAAAGCCGTCTTGCACAAGATTCTACCGCACAAGGTACCAGGGACAAACATGAGTCAGGTTGAAGCGCAAACGTATAGCCCACAGGGAGCAGGAGGACCTGTGTTCAATGGCCCAATCACTGGTAGGAATGTACTGGCAGGCATGTCAGTCTCCGGTGGTATATCGAACTTCAACTTCTCATAATACTGAGAGGTAGCTGTGCTTATCATAGACGGTGCCGAAGATCGGCTCCTCCGAGACTATTAATGTAGAGCATAGAGCAGCAAGAATCTCTTTCTTTCTCGTATCGACTGGCGGGATGTTGGTGTGATATTCTTAGAGACTGGAAGGCGTGCAGCGCATTGACCTCCTTGACGCTTCCATGCATGGGTTTTGTTCATGCCCACAAGCTTCTACCACTACCAACCGAAAACGCAGTACACCACCACCTACAAGAGTCTGATTGACATAATAAGCCCGGAATCATAATCCATTGGCCCAGAAGATGACCCTTTGACCATCCATGAATTCATAAAAGTATGTTGACTCGGGGCTCAACGCACAGGCACATTTCACTGCAATTTTAGCCTTGCTGGCCACATTGCTTCAGAGATGCCAAGCCAGTGGCTTTTGAAGTCATAGGCACGATGGATGGGTTGTATGGGCTCTGATCATAAGTATAAGTCGTAGAACTTGAGTTCGGACGATGGGCGAGGTGGCTTGGCAATGTCGTTGCTTTATCATCTACAACATAAATCAATGCATATATAACAGTCAGGTAAGGTAATGATATCGATTAAAGGGAATAAGCTATCGCGTACAGCGTGTTGAGAGTTTTGTTTTGCGTCCAAAGACATAACGTAACATGACGACTTGACCCTGACAAGACAAGAAGATGCTTTTTCTCTTTTCCTCCAGATCCTCAGCTCCAGAATCCCCTCCTTCCCAGCCAGCCATTAGTAGTGGTAACAAGTATAGCATACACTCCAGATTGCGCCAGGCCAACACAATGCCCGCCACCGGTCAACGCTCGCTCTAGATCTACTGACCGGCCGTGGCCTCGTTGCCCTCGCTCGCCGGCTTGGCCAGCTTCGCCTTGGCCTCGTTCTCGCCCTCGACGCTCTTGGCGGCGTCCTTGACGATCGGCTCGTCGGGCACCAGCTTCCTGGTCTGCTGGTCACCGCCCTCGGCGGCCGGCGGGGGTGGCGCCACGGGCTGCCTTGGGGCGTCTTGGTCCGGCGACTCGCCGACGCCGAGATTGACCACCTCGTTGCCGTTCTCGTCGACCACGCGCGTGCGCGTCTCGTAGCGCGTCTTGAACTCGACCTTGCCCTCGAGCGCCTTCACCTGCTCCTCGTTGAGCACGTTGCCGTCCTGGTCCCGGTACTCGATGCGCTCCTCGCGCGAGAGGATGCGCTGGCCGGCGGGCGGCGGGGGCGCGCCGGAAATCCCCGCCGCCGGCTCGCCCGGGGCCTCCTTGGCCTTCTGTGCGATCGGAATCTGTCCCTGCTGTCCGCCCTGGACGGGAATGTTGACTGGTGGTGCTGTGGATGCTGTGGGCTGGGGAGAAGACTTGACCGCAACGGAAGAGTATTGGTCGTACTAATGTAAAAGATGACGCATTAGTGTGCGTTGGAGGAAAGGAGATATTGTGTGCCTGTCTGATCTACGTGTATGACGCCAAAGCCAGCGCTCAGAATCCAAGGTAGTGCCGCACGATTCCAAGTAGCATAGGCCTCAAAATAGCACTTGCTATATACACTACTCGTATTGCTTCCTTCTGTGCCAACCCCGCCCGAACTAGCCTCTCTCGGGCAATTTTCTTTCAGGTATCACTGCTGAGGGGATGCTACTTACGTTGTCATAGAAAGTGTTGCAGTCAAAATCCCAAGTATTGAACAGCTTCACGCGGTTGCACTCAGCCTTAGTCCACGGGTTGCCATATGCCAGCGGGGAGAAGAGCGCGAACACGACGGCTGATAGAGCCAGGAAGCTCACTGCCAATGCCTTGTTCACGACCGGGTCGCGAACAAGACTCGAGAATCTCGCGGTGGCGAAGTCGAACACTTGGCAGAAAGCGATAATGGCGAAGTACAGAGCTGGGAAGTAATGATGCAAGAAAAGCTGGCGTTGCATCAGGTAGAACGGGAAGTAGTGGAATGCCCACCCCACAACCGATGTGCCAATCTCGTAATCAAATCGCTTGAAGACAGCGTTGGCATAGTCGTTGCAGCTGCGTTGCCATCGGAGGACGGCAACGCCCTTGAAGAGCACATAGATGACCACAGCCAAGGTGGAACTCCACCAGACAATTGGGTTACCAATAAGGTAGATCTGACGATGGTCCTTGCCCCAGAAGTTGATGCCTCGTCGCAGGACGGGCCAAGATGGCGGTCGAGAATCCCAGGCGTGCGACTCGACGAGTCCGGCGTTTGTCTTCCACATCACCTCCTGCAGCTCCCAGAACTTGCGGAAGAAACCAGGGCGGTCATAGTTGACCTTCTCTGCATCCGGACCGAGGGCGTCATGCTCATTCCACTCCACATACCACAAACTGTTGGGGAGAGTGCCTCCTCGGGCGCAAGTGACTTCTTGCTGCTCAGAAGCCCAATCCGGAAGCTTGACCTTGTGGGAGAAGAGAACGCAGCCAGTCATGATGTGAACAAGTTTGAACTTAGTCTCAATGGTACGGACTCGCTCCTGAGCTACACCCTTCTTGGATCTCTTCTTAACAATCTCGACGCGGAAGAAGTCATTGGCATCGCCATCGAAGCCTTCATAACCATAGGCAGATACTTCGTTCTGCCAGTCAGCCTCGGTGACAGGGGGTCGGACATCGTGGGAGTGAAGACGGCGATGAGTTGGCAAGTGGTACAGCCGAATGACATCGCCATCCTTGATGTACGGAATTTCAGGAAGGTTGTTCCATGCAGAGGTGCCATTAATGGGCTCGCCATGAATATCCAGGGGTTGAGTCTGGTTCTCCAAGAGCCAGATGTTGTTCTCATCCTTGTGGGGGTACAGAGTGATCTGTTGCTGTTTGCTACCAGTGGGGTACATCAGGGGGTGCGAGTGAAGATAGCCACCCTGAGTGTTCACATGTCTGATAGTAACTCGGCTGCCCATCAGAACGTCAACGGCAACGTCTTGCATACCCTTCGAGTTTAGAGTAGATTGGAACTCGGAGCTCATGAAACCATCGCCGTCACCGGGGTTGACCAGGCAGAGGAAGTGGATAGCAAACATGGCCATGTAGAAGGTTACGGGGATGACGATCAAGCTGAATACTCGAGCCATAAAGTGCTTAGCGAATATGCGCTGCGCCAAGTTAGTGGTTGCAATTGAAACTGAATGTTTGTAGGGAGTTTACCAGAGTCACAGTCTTGGTGTCACCGAGGAGAACCCAGAGCTGAATGAGGGTGAAGCTTCCAACCCAGGCGATGGTGAAGAGACCAACCCACTTGATGCTGCAGGTGGCACCCAAGCCAAGACCAGTCATGACAAGCCAGAACCACCAGCTTGGCTGGAAGGCCTTGGTAGGTCCCAATTCATGTTGGTTTGTGAAAGACGTGAAGGCCAGGGCAGTGAAGGCAGTGGCAATCATCAGAGGAGAGTCGAGGAGAATCAAGCGTGCCTGAGTCAGAAGACCGTTCTCGAAGATGATCAGACCAGCACCCATGGCAGCTGTAAATGTTCGGCATCCCGCAGCCTTGAGCGTGAGGAACATGGTGGGCACCAGTAGGACACCGCAGATGGCAGGGAACAGTCTCATGGCAACGTAGGGAACCTTAGGTTCAAGATAATCCTTGCCAATCTCTTTGAAGTCGAAGTCACCATCGAAGCCAGCTAGCCAGCCGAACAAGGTGATGAGGAGTTTGGCCAGGGGCGGGTGGACATCCATGAAGAACTTGCCCTTGATGTACTTGGAAGCGAATCCACCAAAACTGCGAGAAGAAGAGTCAATTATTGTACTTGTAAGGATTCGGAGCTTGTGCGAGGTGCATACTGGACTTCGTCGAAGACAACGCTGGTTGGCTGGTAGATACGGAAGAGCCGTACGATGGCACCGAGGACTGTCAAGCCCAGCATCCATTGGTAGTCTGAGATTGGTAGGAGGAAGACATCGTTATCTTCGACGCCCTCTGATGTATAGTCGTCAGGACGCTTCGGCTTGGTTCGTGAGACGGTATTGGATGTCGGCGGAGGGGGAGGCGGCGCGGTGGGAGATGCCCGGGCGGCGGGCGATTTGGCTCGAGCCATGATGGGAGAGGATGATCTACAGCAATCGGTCTTCCGAGGTGAAGTGTGGATATCGGGCCCTTCTTTCTGGATCACTTCCTACTTCCCCACGCAGATGGACGCGACTCGAGACCGCGACTTTAACCGGACCGGAGGACAAAAGGGAAGTGGAAACCGGGATTAAAGAGAGTCAAGAAAGGAAGGCGATCAATTACAAGGTCGTCATGGGGTGGGTGGAGGTGCTCCAACCAAGCCAAAGGGATTGAGAAGAGGAATAAGAGAAGTTAGAAGAGAAGAAGCACAGATGAGGCCTCTATCACAGCCTCGAGGATCTGTCTTCTTTCGGTCGCCCTTTGCAGTATGGATGAGGTTTCCTGGGGGGAGGAGAGGGTTGGAGAAAGGGGGCTGAAGCTGGACGGCATCACACAATAAATTTGTAGCTTAAGTGGCCTTTCTGGAAAAGGGACGGGGAGCTGACGAGTGTCATTGGCTAGCTGGGGCCCTAGTTGGCAGCCCGCCGTACCTAAGGTACGCAGTAAGCGGGCTAACTACTGTACCCAGCTGTCCCACCTCGTCCATGGCGCGCGTCGTATCTGCCCTGCAGTGGCCGCGCTACCCCAACTTGGGCGCGCTGGGAGAGCCTGGAAACTAGAAAGGGATGGCCTGCAGGGGTGGAACCCCCCCCCCTCCCCTCAGGCGATCCTCTCCCATGCCGGGCCGCTAGCACCGGAGCTTTGGGTACCTGGTTTAGCTCGTAAGTTTCCCGCGTTTGACATGTTACTGCTGCTACGGACCAATTTCTCCTCCATGTGTTACTTTGCTTCCATGGACCTAATCTAGGCATTTGACGTGATAGCATAGGCAGGTAGGAAACCTGGAAAGCCAAGCAGACTGGGATCCCAAATGTGCTTCAATTAGTCTAGGTCTTCAGAGAGACATACTGTACTATGTATACACGGGTCTAAGGGCTCGGAGGCTCATTCTTTTCGACCTCTAGAAGATAGTTTCTCGATTCCATGGTTGCGATTGACCACGACTGATGGGCCAGATTTCCACAACCAGAGGTCTCGGCAGTCTTTGCCTTTCTTCAAAAATGCAGGCTCAAAGCTTCTTCTGGGGTCTCTTACTCGTCGTAATATTTATGTCTTTGCCTGTCTAACTTTGCTGTATATTTCTCCATCGTCTACCACACATTCTCGGCCTCCCTACGCAGCAGACACTTACATCCTCTTCTACATTCAGTTCACAATCAACTCCCACGTTTTCTCGTCGTGTCACTCCTTGATAACGTCGGTGCTACAACGACATGGACGAGATTCGTCACCTGCAAAGACTCCATCGCGAAGTCCAGGAAAAGAGAGCCGAGCTTGACCAGATACCCAATGAGCAATCGGACGAGATTCAGCACCAACGACGTAAATGTGCCAAACAGATTCAGATGAAGGAATTCTACATGGGCCGCAGCCTTGAGCGCTTGAACTACACGATCGAGCACCGTCAGCACAGGCTCGACCGGATGTATGAGCGAAAAGATGGTCAAATGGCTCACTCTGTCCGAATGCTCGACAGCGAGCTGCAAACACCCAAGCAGCGGCGACCCAAATCTAAGCGGGCTACGCCAGGCCCGCTGCAGCTCGATCTGCGAGCAACTCCATCCCCTCTAAAGCATGAATCGAAAACAGAAGACTTGTGCTCTGACGATATGTCATGGGCCGTCGAGCGTGGTTATGATATAGTGGACAGATGTGAGGCAATGGATTCTTGAAGACCACCGCATTGTGGCTGGGAGTCCTTGTCACACGCAGTGCGAACACGACAGCTGAAAATGGAGCTTGAATGATCTCGAGGGCAGGCCAAAGGACATGACCTTCTGATGTCGAACAATCTGAAGACATATGAAGCAAGGGGAGAGAGTAATATGTAATTGCTCAAGTTGATAGAGTTACCGTACCTTAGATAGCTAATGTCAGTAACTATAACTACGACCACGACCACGACCACGACCGCGACCACGACCGCGACCATGACTATATACTATATTGAGAATATAATTGTAACTATAAATCAGAGATCTTAGACTATTTAATAAGTTAGTCTTTTAATTTTTTAGTACATACCCAAAGAGTTATTAACATTTCAATTTCTACTACAAAAATACTAATTACCAAACCTTGAACTAGTTGTGATGGCGTCGTTGCCGTGTCGGACGAGTCGCAGCTGGACATTAGGTGCGACGACCAGATGGCGGCCAGGTGGCAGCCAAATGGTGGATTACTCGGCCCCACTTCCTTTCTCAAGGTGGGCGTTAGCAAAGATGTGAACTTGCTGTCTCAGCCTCATGCGCCACAAGAGCGAAACGCCACAACCTGGATGTCCTTTCCTTCATTTGCGGCACCCCAGACAAGCGATAGGCGCTAAGATGCGCTAAAACACGCTAACGCTAACTGGACATTGGCAGCACCTCAGGGTGTCTACAATTTACTCTTTGGCAACTGCAATCGCCTGTCCTCGTCCTCGTCACCTTGTTCTCGACAACGACGACAAAGACAAGAACGCCAATAGAAATATCAAGAGCCTAGTGGCGATCAATACGAGGCCATCGACACCATTGATACCATCGTCATTGTCATCATTGTTGTCATCCTCAAAGCTAAGCTATCTCAAGCACGTCACATGATCGCCATGGACTTGGATGAATCAGCCACAGACACAGGCATAGGCACAGGCAGTCTTGCAAAACTAAGTCCGAGTCTGAATCCAATGCCAAATCCGGAATCGAAGCCGGAAACGGAGCGTTTTGTCGCTCGTGGCCAGCAAGGCGGCCATTTCCTTGCCCGTGTCAGCCTCGCGGCGTCGCCTTAGCATGGTGATCCGCGGCTGCCGTTTGAAGGCTGGCGAACTGCTGCTCCTATCGGGGAGCATCCCATTGTCAACTTCTTTGACCTCATCCGCGAAACCGAACAAACCACTTACACTTCTAGTTCCGCTTCTAGTTCTTCTAGACCTAGTCTCACTTCTGTGTCTAGTGATGATCAGAAGGGGCCGGCGAGGGAGAAGAAGGACAACAAGAGCATGCGCAACGACATCATCGACCTCCTCTCCATCTCCAAAGTGAACTGGTCTCTTCTCGCCGTTCTACGCCTGGGCTTCGCAGGTGACGGCCTCTGCAACTTTCCCCCGACCCTTGTGGTTGCCGTGCCGCCCGCTACTATGTCTATCGATCGCGCTGTTGAGGTTGCCGTTGAGGTTGCCAACTGTGTGTACCGGTGAGTTGTTACTCTGTCATCTCCCTGCCTTCCTCCCTTCCTTGTGTGTCGTCTAGGGACCCTTGGCTCACAATAGGCATACAAATTCACACAGTTTCGAACAGCTTCGCGATATTGCGATCGAGATCCTTAATCTTGATATCTCCCCTGCCTATGCTACGAACAAGCGGACTCTTGCCAGATACGGCTACTCCTTCGAGGACGCTTTCTGCGACAGCCCCCCAATCGGTGTCAGCCTTGGCACTGTAGGCTCCGGAGACTCAGGCACTCTCGGCGGTTACCTGAGAGTGCGTGCCAAATCAGCTGCCGGCGCGGAGAAGACCAAGTACCTGGCTCTGACCTGCCATCATGTCCTCAGCAGTAAGTGACAGACACAGCGCTCGCAGTGCACTACACCGTCTGTCTTGTTACATCGTTCTGACGCTTGCAAAAGAAAGCCAGACACCCCTGAAACCAGTCTTCGACAGCGAGTTCCCCAGGACCTTGGTTCAATGCCCCTCCCGCGTCGACATTGATGTTTAGAAGACAGAATTACAGCAATCACGGGAAGAGGTGGGGGATTCCCACAGATACAAACTCTTGAAGATCAAGCAAGCGGCCGAACGCCTCAGCCCGCAAGACAAGAAACTCCTCGATACGATTGAGTCGGGGCTTGCCTCGGACAAGACACGCTGTGCCCACGCACAGGCTTTTGAACCCCATCTTGGCATGGTCTACTGTAGCTCTGGATTGGGCGTGGTCCAAAGAGCGTCGGGCTTTTTGCTAGACTGGGGTCTCGTGGAATTGGATCCATGTCGATTCCCGTCTTTTGCCCACCTATCGAGCGTGAGTCTTTTGCCAGCTAACCAGATACTCCCTTGCTCGCTTGAATCGTCGTTCGTTTGCTGATACGAGGTTGTAGAGTCTGGATTCTGAGACGATCTTCTCATTCAGCAGGGACGCAAGACACTCCCGGGCACTTGGAAGCAAGACAGGCGTCCAGCCGTTACATGAGCTAGAGGAGATCCTAGCGGCCAACACTAGTCTGGTCAACAGAAAAGCTGTTTTCAAGGTCGGGAGGACTACAGGCAGGACCTTCGGGGAGGTGAACCAGATCCATCCCAGCATGGCTGTCAGTTCTAAGGCAGACAACAATAAGACCATCACCTGCGTAGGCAAGGTCGTTCTCATTGTTCGTCCCAGAGAGGAGTCACAAGAAAACTCTGGTCGCCATGCAGGCTTTGGCGACAGAGGTGACTCGGGCAGCCTCGTCTTCGACTACCAGGGTCAGGTCATGGGTGTCTACTTCGCTGGAAAGGACAACCACGATGGTCACAATCTAGGGGTGTCTCTTGTGGACGGGATACATCTTGTGGCGCCGATCGAACCAACTCTCGAGAGCATCCGCGCGACAGTTCAAGAGGACCCCGAGCTCTTTGGTCCCGACTTTGCCGAGGTCGAGTTTCTGTGGGGAGATGGTGAGGAGTCGGCGGGAGGTGGGATCTGACGACATGTAGCGGGATCTATGTGCTAGCTCGAATAGCACTGACTTGTAATATTATGATTTTTTGTCTAACTTCATCTGCTGCTCTTTCAATTGCTAAGCTGTCTGTTATGGGGCTTGGTTGTGATCGTTCCCTATCGTGATTCAATGTTGTTTATATCTAAGGCACGGTGAGAACGGTGAGAGCCTTCTAGATACCCTGTGATACGATGCATTCTGAAAATGCTGGAAAAAAAACATAATCATCCTGTCCGGAGGACAATGTTGTGGCCAAACTCCTGTATTGTGCACGGAGAGGGAACTTTAAGGAGGATATCTGCCCTGCCTAAGATGTACTTGGTGGGGGTGTTCTAAGCTGCTGAAATTCGTAGGTTAGCGTTGCCCAAGACTTGCAGTCCTAGAGCGAGAGACGGAAAATCCCTGATCCGTCACTAACAAAAAATAGCGGCCAGTAGCGACTTAGCATCTACACGCCGATCGCAACCACGAAGACCCTGTCCACAGCATCCTCGACAACCGAGTCGCGGGACCCATCGCGAATAATCCATCATGGCAGTGAACGGGGATGCGGTAGCAGCTGCGTCTGCCGAGCTTGACAAGATCAGGCCGCCCCAGGGCATGGTCATCCCGCCGCCCGGGGAGATTCGAGAGGCGATTGAGAAGACGGCTGGGTTTGTCGCAAGGCGTGGCGTAAGTTTCGAGGAACGCATCCGCGAGAGCCATGGAGCCAACCCCAAGTTTAGCTTCTTGATGAGCCAAGGCGACCCCTACAATGCGTACTACGAGTGGAGAAAACAGGAGTATGAGGCTGGTCGCGTGACGGCCATCGCTGCCGGCCGCGTTGGCGACATAGTTGTGCCGGAGAAGGAGGTGCCCAAGGGCCCGCCGAAGCCCCCAGATTTCCGATTCTCTGCGCGAATGCCGCGTATCAATCAGAAGGATCTCGAGATCCTACGGCTCACAGCGTTGTTCGTCGCGAGAAATGGCAGACAGTTCATGACTTCGCTCTCCCAACGAGAAGCCGGCAGCCCGCAGTTCCAATTCCTCATCCCGAATCACACCTTCCACAACTACTTCCAGCACATGATAGATCAGTATTCGATACTACTTCGAGAGAGTGGTCTTGGCGGAGAAGGGTCAAAGGCACAGCAGGAGCGTGTGGAAGAGCTACAGCGAAATGTCGATGACAAGTATAACGTTCTGTTGCGCGCGAGACAACGAGCAGAATGGGCGAAGCACCAGGAGGCAGAGAGGAGGAAGAAAGAAGAGGAGGAAGAGCAGAAGAAGATCGAGTTTGCAAGCATTGACTGGAACGACTTCGTTGTCGTCGAGACCATCGTCTTTTCCGAATCCGACGACCAGGCAAATCTCCCTCCGCCGACCAGCCTTAACGATCTTCAGTATGCCTCACTGGAAGAAAAGAAGCAGGTCTCGATCAGCTCAAATCTCCGTCTCGAGGAAGCCTTCCCCTTCGATGACAATAGCTTCAATGCCTACCCGCCACAGCCCGCCCACACGCTACCTGTACATCCATCTCCAACACAGCAATCTGCGCCAGCAGTACAACCCTACCAGCCTGTTATGCCTCCTCAGTATAATGGAGCTGCGCCGCCACCTGTCCGAGCAAGATCGACACAAGAAGAGGAAGAGAATGCAAGGATCCAGGAGCGAGAGCAGGCACGTGCGCAGATACAACAAGCCCGAGCAGAGGCAAAGGGAGGCGTTGCTCCAATGAAGATTAGAGAGAACTACGTCCCGCGGGCTGCAGCACGGGTTGCTAGTACTCGTGGGGTGCAGATGGCACTCTGCCCTAACTGTAAACAGCAGATTCCTCTTAACGAGCTAGAGGAGCACATGAGAAGTAAGCTGCTTGCTATGAAGATCTATCACCAAGTACTAATGTCTCATCACAGTTGAACTTCTTGATCCGCGCTGGAAGGAGCAAAAAGCTAAGGCAGAGTCGCGCTATGCTACAACAAACCTGTCTACAGCAGATGTTGCCAACAACCTCAAAAGGTTGGCAAGCCAGCGTAGTGATGTCTTCGACGGAGTGACAGGCTTGCCCCTCTCCGACGAGGAGGCTGCTCGAAGAAAGAAGGTGGCCCTGAACAGCTTCGATGGCAACCCAGAGGGAAACAGTCAAGCACACATTAAGCATCTGCAAACCGTCAACGTTGATGAACAAATCAGGGCTATTCACCAAAAGTTTGCGGCAGAGAAGAAATGAGGAGCTATGACAGTTGGCTTTGCCTATCAATCGGGGGTTAGAAAGTTTTAGCCAGCTTCGACTTCAGTCAGTGCGGATCACTGCGATCTTGGCGCCGTGCAAATGAAGCGAGGCACTTGTGATATCTCTACTACAAAGGTACAGACTTGGGATCAAGCTAGGTGAGGAGATGTCCGTCGACTATCTGCTTATACTGGAAATTCAAACCAACAAGCATTGCAGATTATAGGTCCTGTTTCTAAAGACCAGGAAGGATGCTGCAAGGAGAGATTCAGGTAGAGGAGTGTTTTGGCAAGCAACTACTGGGCTGGAGTTCAGGCAATGTAACATAGAAATTATCAAGCCTGGGTGTCTGGGATGATATACCCATACAACCAGATAACGGCAGATCATGCCAAATTCAGAACAATTTGTTGCGACCAATCTCTAAATTCCTTGTGATGTTGTCAGAGAGGTAAGTTGCAATGACAAGCTCGTGGAAGTGATAGCTTCCCGGTGGACAAATTGCTCCGCCTTACATGTGGAGGCCTGGCGCAATGAACTGCGTGGTTAAGCAACCGGTCAAGCAAGCAAGCAAGCCTTGGAGATTCCTCCACTAAGCTTCGACATCCCACCAAAGAACATCTGACCCCACCTTCTTAGATCGTCAACTTCCCTCTACGCACAACGCTCACCACCTTCACGTCCTCGTGCCCGCAAGGCAGCGTCTCCCGCCAGTCAATCCGAAACTTCCACAACCTGCGCTTACTTTGATCGCATCGAGGCTCTCGAGCACCGTTCGCAGCCGAATACCGCCAAAACGGGGTCCGACGGGCAAGACACCGCTCGCGCCGCTGACCCCAGCAGCAGCGCCGAGCCCGCAGCGAGCACCATCAAGCAGCCGGTCTCGCCCCCGAAGTCGCCGTCCTCTCCCAGCTCCATCAGCTCGGCGGCGGCCCGCATACATCGACCCATCATGCAGACCATGCCGGATGTGCGTCAGCAGTCCTTTGACGAGATCTATGGCCCGCCGGAGAACTTCCTAGAGATCGAGGTGCGTCCCCGAACTGCCCTGGAGCCACGAGGCTGCACGTAGTGGGCATACATGGCGGAAGATGCTGTGCAAGTGAACTGACGAGCTTACTTCCGTCCTGACAGGTCCGCAACCCGCGCACGCACGGCATCGGCCGGCACATGTATACGGACTACGAGATCGTGTGCCGGACCAACATCCCCGCCTTCAAGCTGCGGCAGAGCAGCGTGCGCCGTCGCTACTCGGACTTCGAGTACTTCCGCGACATCCTGGAGCGCGAGAGCGCGCGCGTCACCATCCCGCCCCTGCCCGGAAAGGTGTTCACGAACCGCTTCAGTGACGATGTCATCGAGGGCCGCAGGGCCGGGCTCGAGAAGTTCCTGAAGATCGTCGTCGGCCACCCGCTGCTGCAGACGGGCAGCAAGGTGCTCGCTGCTTTTGTGCAAGGTAAGCTGAACGGTATAGAAGTCGGTGATGGGGGCCTCCTGAGCTGACCTTATGGCCAATGTAGATCCGAATTGGGACCGCAATGCTTGGTGACTCTTCCGGTTCGCTCGTTTGGCAGTGTCCTCCTCATCCTCAAGCCAACGCACTCCACGGAAGCTGCGCAAACGACCGCCCAAGGGCTGGGCCGAGACGCAAGGGTTGAACAAGCTGGCGGATGATGAAGAGGCAGATGAGATATGACAGGGTGTAGCCTTCCGACTATTGAATGGCTGGATGATGGCAAACGGTAAAGTGGAAAGTTGTGGAAGCAGTATGGGATGCCCATCTTTTTCTCAACCCCCGGCAACAGCCTCAAAATGTCTCTCTTCTTTTTAAACTCATATCATTCTTCCGGGAAGGACTCTGATTAGTGGCGTTGGTCTCATATATTTTCTCGAAAGACATTGCGTGGTCCAAACCTTTCATTTATGACTACGCGAGCAATGAGTGTACGTTACATCCGAAACGTATTCAGGAGGAATTCGTTACTCAGTTAAACAAAACACTTTCTCTAAAAATCGGCAATAGATGTTGTGACCTGTATGAACAGTGATTTGATTATTATATATTTCGTAAGCATCTGGAGATGGGTATAGCGCCTCCCCCTGGTTATCGACCCCTGAATATGTACAGAATTCCCTCCACCGAAAGCGCTTGCATGCAATTATAAACATCTTCCTGCCTTTTTTTCTCGGCCCCAACGCCATGGAAGCAGACGCCGTCAGACCAAGTCTATGTCCGTTCTATGATACAGATGTGTTCCGATATATGCTGTTAAACAACGGGATGAAGGAGTCGGGTTTCGGATCCGGCGCAACGCCGTAATAGATACAGAGATTATACAAAGTTGTGAAGAGTCGTTTAGAAGAAATCCTTAAGCTGGCGCATCGAAGAGTCGTAAAATTCCCTCGTACATGCCAAACATGATGGCTGCACTGGGCACGGTTCGCAGCAAATGGGGTGTCAGTCCTCCATAAAGGCCAAGCATGCCCTCTTCTTTCCAGACCAGCTTGAAGCATTGGATCAAGCCGGTGTATTTCAGACGCCCATCAGCAAGGGGTGCCTGCCGCAAACGGGTACGAGCGACCTAAGACTATGTTAGCATTGCTTGAGATTCTGCGAGTCGGACATCACAAACCTCATGTGGGTAGGCCAGGACTGCAGCAACGAGCTTCGCGCTGCCAGCTGCCCCGAACTTCCCTGTCCAGTCCACAGTATGATCCCACCAGGTCTTCTCTCTCCCGCTGAGGATTATTCGTTCTTCTCGCAACCTTAGAGACTTCTTCATCTGCTCGTAAAGCATCCACTGCAATGTCGACTCTGCCACACCCAGATAGCTCGCACTCATGCCCTTATACAGGCCTCGTATGCCTTCATCACGCATAACCTGGCGCACGCAGTCCAAACTGTTCTTGTACTGCCGCACCGCAGCGCCGCCGCTTTGTGCCGCCACGTTCTTGTCCAGCTGTAGTCTGGTCTTGACCAGCCAGATGGGGTTGGTCACTGTCGATGTCACTACGCCCGCAGCAACGCCAGCCGACAGATGCACCCATGCGGCCTCCTCGCCATTGTTCAGGTAATGCGCAATCAGCCGTTTGCCATTGCCATATGTGTAGAAGTTGATTGAGCGCGCAGGCACGACTCCAACAAGGTTGGGTCCCAAGCCTTTGAAGAGAGCTCGTGTGCCCTCAATCTTCTGAACCGAAGCTAGAATCTGTAGCGTCTCCGTAAGATGATATACACCAGCTCGGAGAGGGTTCATGGCGACGTTGGCATGGGCGGCTCGAGCCGCTCGGAGTTGCGCCTGGTAGAAGTCGGATTGAAGACGAGTCTTGAGAACATCGAGAGGTGCAGTCAGCGTCGCGGCCGTCATGCCAGCAACTCTAGAAAACCAGTATGTTAGCATCACCTCCATCCGCTGAAAGAAGCATGATCCGGCCTGTCCGGTACGTACGCTCCAGCTACCATGTGAGCCCATGACTTCGCGAAGGGCGAAGCCGCTGCAGCTTTCGATAGATCCTGCGGACGCGCCTCTGGTACTATTTCGCCTGTTTCTCGCGACTGGTAGAGCGGCGACAGCTTCGAGGCCGGATGCTCGCTGGGCTCGGATGATTTTTTGGAGGCCATCATGTATTGCGATGGCGAGGCGCTTTGCGCCATCTCAGCCAAAAGGCTTTCTGGTAGAAGTCGAAATCTAGATGCCTTGTGTGAAGCTACATGAGTCCCGTCTGGAACTGCAGAAGATGGTGCAGGTCGAGGAGTTGAGGTTGGATGCCGCTACAAGGAGAATTGACGGACTCGAGAACCCTTGAGCTGGATGGCAAATTCGATGGTGACGATAAGATAGCAGCAACTTTTTCTAGGTGGGTTCCGGGATTCTTAGTTACCGACCGACGCCAACAGTGGACCCAATTAAACCTCCTGAATTTGATTTCTTGACTTACACATCAATCACCTTTCCACAAGACAGAGTGCTTCGACTGCTGAAAATTCAGGCGAAATGCTACTTACTTGATCCGGAAAACAACTTGACGAACTCAAATACTATTGAGCGGTTCTTACGATATATCATCTTGAAGGAGCGGACAATAGATTGCAAAGCAAGGATTTCTTATTGATCTATCAATCATGCCTCCAAGCCGGGGTACCAAGTCCCTAGCTCAGAGTAAAACCGCGATGCGGTCTGACCAGAGAATAAAACCAAACGATAACGCCGTTTCCTGCAGCATCAGTACCAGGGTGTCGTGAGCCATCCTCTCTCAGAAAGTCTATCCTAGAGAGACCAAATCTATATGGGCCAGTGTCCATCGATCTACCTCTCGCCCTCCAGTGAGACTCCTTTCTGTGAATGGTCCATTGCTCCATACCATGTCGTAGCAAGCAGACGAAAAGAAAAACAAACTCCAAAAGTGTTTTGTCGACAAGAAAACGATGAGCACAGATTCTCGGCCAGATCCCTCAAGCAGGCCAACCAAGTGATGGCTGCCGCATGGGATGGCGAGAGATTGTTAGGAAAAGCAGAAGAGATGCCGCAGCCTTAGATCCCGTCTCCGAAGACCACAGCGCACACATTGTCTTCGGTGCGCCTGTTCGTCAATGCGTGACAAGCGAAGCGATGAGAGCAACTGCCATTACTGGCTGAAAGCACGGCGGAGGATGCGGTCAATTGCCTGGAACTCGAGGGTGCTCAAGTTCGCCAAGGTCATCAAGTCAAAGTCGCGTCCAGTGGGCAGATTAAGTTCATGCCAGAAGTAACCCCAGTAGTCGTTGGTATTGCTGCCCAGCTGCTGGACCTGAGAGCGGATATTCAAGGGGTAGTTGTTGACCGATCGGACGGTCTCCTCGCGTATAACCGCAATATACCACTAAAAACATCAAGTCAGCGCATATTTACTTCGAGGAACGCATCACTAACCTCAAGGACATCAAGCGGGATGCCAGGCTTCGGAGCCATAGTGTAGATGTGAGTCCAGTTATTCGCAAAGCGAGGCTGGTTGAACTCGCGCTGCTGCTGATCGAACAGGTTCAGCATTAAAGCGATGTCATCCTTCTGGACAACACTGAATCCGGGGCAGAGCATCGCTGCGGTGTAGAGACGTCTGAGGAGCTGCTGATTGAAGTGCTCCTCATGCCTCTTATCCTTGATTGCTTGAAGAAGCAGACGGATAAGGTCCTGAGCCGCCTTGAAGACACTGTATCGCTGGCGCACGGTGATGAAGGCGGTCATGAACCAAGGGAGCTTCTTGATCGTGCTGATCATACACTCGAATGGACGCTGGGGACAATCACGGGAGAACGGAGACTATCGGCTGTTAGTTATTTCTCAGAGACGAAAATTGCTTGACTTACTCGCTGCGGGACCTCCACATGCTTGACAAGCATGGTCATCTCCTCATCAGAGATGAATCCCTTGAATCGTTGCCAAGGTTCGGTGGGGTGGTCAGGTAAAATCTCAGGACTCGAACCGTGCCACTTGATTCCACGAGCGAGAGGGAAGAGATCCTCCATCAAGGCAGCCTGGCTCGAGAGCTCGACGTCGATCGGACGATCACCAAGACGACTCAAGCGGCCGCCGGAGACGATCTTTTGGTGCTTCTCAACAGCGGTGATGGCGGCTTGCATGCTCATGAACTCAACGTACGCATCGTTGGTCTTGCTAGTAACACGTTCCATTATGATGTGAACGGGCTCCTGGTTGTCGTTCAACACTTTGGAGTTGCGTCCAAGGAAGGCGAGAATCTCCGCGCGCTTGGTAGCGAATGGGATCTGATGGCGGGTAAAATGCATCAGTTCGAGCCTCTGGGAGAGAGGGATATGACTTACATTCTTCAGCTTTACCACCCCGTGGTTAACGGCAGCAGCTAAGCGCGGGCTGTCAACGAAGGGGAAGTTCTTCGGGTCGAGTGCGACCTCAAGGGAAGGACGACCAGTCGGACCAGATGTGATATTGTTCAGTTGCGCAGATCGCAATGACTTGATATGGTCGGGAACTGGGTTGGAGTAGACAGCGAGAGAATTGCTGGGCTGAGAATGGATGGTTTGCAGAGGCTGAATACCAGCCGGAATAGGCGCAACCGTGAACGGATCCGCAGAAACATTCTGAGGCTGTACCTGATACGGCATCATCTGCTGAGTCTGGGCCTGAGCTTGATACTGAGCCGGCATAGGAGTCACAGGGAGTGAAAACTGCGGCGGCGGACCATTTGTGACAGGCTCGGCACTTCGAGGCGCGAAGTTGCGTGGCTCTGTGGCGAAGGTCTCCTGAGACGCTATAGTAGCCTCGGAGGTTGGAGGGCTCACGATATTGTTTTGTGATGCAGATGGGTTCAAAGGACCCATAGGAGCACCCATGCCAGCATACTGGGCATTGCCGTTGTTGTGGTTGCCATTGTAGTGAGTGATGAAGCCATTCTGGACAGGCGCTTGCGGGAACGAATTCATTTGCGGGACTAAACTGACTGCCGCTTGCTGATAGACGGCGCCGCCGTTCATCTGTTGGAGAGCATGCTTCTGCGCTTGAATCTGGGTGTAGAGATCCTGTTGTTGGTTTCCCTGGGCACCAGAGAACTGTTGAATGTTCATCTGCGGCTGCTGCATTGGCTGGACGGCATAATGGCCATGGATGGGTGAAACACAGTTCAAGGAATAGCCTTGACCATTGACCATCTGCTGTGAAGGTTGGACTTGGGCGTAGTTGGGAGTCATTCCATTGTGGTTCAAACCATTGGGAATGCCATTGACATTACCATTGGGGTAAGCTGCTGTCTGGTAAGCCTGTCCTCCGTCGTTCTGATCATCGGCTGGAAGCATGTTCACAACAGAAGCAGGCAGAACGAACGGCTGCTGGTGAGCCTGAGACGGCTGGGGCATCACCTGTGGAGCTGGTTGAGCAACATCATTGCTCTGACCGTCTGTAGTAGCAGGAGCTGGCATGAAAGGGGTAGAAGCTGGGTTGAGCCTTGTGGACGGCTCGATGTTATCGGCCTGCTCGTCATCCTTTAAAGTGATGGGAGCACCTTTGGTGTCGGCTTCCTTGGACACGACTCGATGGGCCGACTCGTTGTCGTCCTTGTGGGTGGAGCTGAGCGTGATAATTGGAGACGAGTTCAGTAAAGATACTCCACCGCCAATATCGGAGCCGTTGGTGGAGGTCTCAGGTTTGGCTGAGATTTTGCCGAATTTGACACGATTGGGCCGCATGGCCACGGCTGTGTTGACCATGATAGCTGAGTGTAAGGTGATTTGAGGCTGATGCAGGGGCTTGAGGAGGTGCTGGCCTTGCACTTGGTTCTAAAAATCACATGTGTATCAGCGAAAACTCAGGCAGAAGGAGTATCATTTTGATGAGGTGAGTGATGAAAGAGCCGGGTCCCGGAATCACGCGACAGTGCCTCCTTTCGTAGGTTTCCGATTATAGTAGACCTCTAGGGAAGGGGGTGGTGTACGAAGTTGTTTTGAAGGAGTCGGGGCGAGGAGGGAGTGTACCTCAAAATATTAAGCAGGTGTATACGCGCCAGCGCGATGAAGTTGAGTACCGAGCTGGAAAAGTGAAGCTCTGGAAAAGATGGGAAAATGTAAAGGAAGGTCGGGGGAGGGCAAAAGGTGGAAAGGGAAGGAGGGTAGATTCTGAGAGGGCTCTGGTAAATAAATTTCGAATCCAATAGAATCCGATGAGAAGACTTGGTAGCTCACTTGGAAGATCAGATGATGAAAGTCGTCGCGGGGGGTGAATAGGAGGACTTGATCTCACAGGAGATCCTGGCGGAGGAAGCAAACTCAGGTCAAGAAACGCTCTGCTGGCGGCCCCTGTACGTGGTTATTGACGATAAACGGTCCGCTGAAGGCTTTGAAATTATATCTCAACCTGCTCTCCGGAAGCCGAATGTGTCAAGAAGTTGTGAGTTCTTCGGCTGGCAAGCAGTGAGAAAAGGGGGAGGGTGTACAGGGAAAGTGATGAAGGAAAGAATCGACTGCCACGGAGCAAACCAAAATTATTTTGACTTGACGATAGAATGGAAAGAAATGGGGGAAACTCGAGTTCTTTTGGAGAGAAGAGACTCCAGGAGAGGATTTGAGTGTTAAGTACTTAAATTAGGGGAGTAGCTGGGGAATCATGAGAACGAGTCGTTGCTTCATGGTTATCCTGCACGACCTGTTCAGAACCTGAATATCAAGGAATCGAGTTATTTATGGGTAGTTCTGCTGTTCAAGCCTACTATTGTGTGCAGCAGACTGCTTTGAGTGAATAGAGGTGTGAAAACTTCATCTGTTTCTGTGATGCCTCAGGAAGAAGGGACATACTTCCTGGATAACCCAACAGACTTTTTGCCATTTGTTGAAAAACACAGGTTATGTCCCACAGTGAACTACAGTCTTCAACATATGTATTAATAGTCACCATCTCTACGCAAATTCCACTGAAGAGATACGGGCGAAGGGATTACTCTGTTATGATACCACTGGAATAGTATTAAGACTTGACTCTAATCATTTATATCCTTCTCATTGTGACTGAGGTACTATATTCAAGAGATCTCGTCCCCTCAGAAATCAGGAGCGTAGTCAAAATATACAAGACAAACCTGCTAGTATATTATCTGCAAAGTTCTTCTGGCGGCCAGTGCACTTGAAATTGTAATATATCAATACTTCGAGGCTTGAATCGATCCAATACTAACCGCATGTAATCTTGGCTTGATAAATGGGAGCTGGGGCTTCACATACTTTCTCCAAAGGTTATGTTCTTATAGAGTTCGTAACTGAGTAAGAATCATCATCTATACTCCATAGCCTCTTGCGGAAGCCACAGGGTTGGCGAAAAGTTCCCTCTTGATACTCTTTGATAGGTCGAGACATTGACTTAGTTCACAAGTTGAGGCAAACCCCTAGGCTACGTGACATGGCACGGCATGGGTAGTGTATCAAGTACCTGAAGTTATTCTCATAGTCTGCGTTCTACGATTTTGTTTAGACTCCCGTCCTGAGAAGACTACAAGAGCTCTATCGAGCCTATACAAAGATATATCGACGCATTTCTTCATCATCAGCCACGAACACTACCGTTCGTAATCATCGAGTAATTGTCAGCTGTTTGGGCTGTACAACAGTTTTCCGCCATAACGCCGTTCCTTGTGCATCACATTGATGCCCAGGCGCCCCAACTATACGACATTGTAATTGAGAACTTTAGTCAAACTAGAATAGTGATCAGTATAAGTCCTTAAAAGTCTCCAACGTCGTAGGAACTCACAGGTGTCAAGAAGGATTCTGCTACGAATCGTGCTCTGGCGTTCAACTAATGGCTCGTAAGCATCTCGGGGAGTGACAAGGACGAACGAGGCAACCCACGAATAGCTTCATCTCTGAGATCTCCTTGTCTACCTCCTCCATGAACTGGATGATGAAGTCGACTAGCTTGTGCTTCAACATCTCCTCGGTGTGGAAGTTTGTGATTAAGAACGAGATATCATATCCCTAGATCCGTGTTAGCAACTGATATTGCCGCCTTGGGCTGAAGGAGAGCTCGGATGGATCTCCGAGGGGTCCCCTGAAGTTCATTCAGCGCACCTTGATGGGCTTTCTCCTGAGAATAAAGAATGACTCGGCTCTTTGCGTCAGGAACCTGGTAAACTTGTGGACTAGGATGTGCTCGATCTCGTCTGCCTGCTTGATCTTGATGGATATGCGGACACTATTGACGCTGGGCTCGATGAGTACCCGCTCGTTCTCGTTACGGGCAATGGTCAGGGGCGTCAGGAGAACTTCAGGGGAGGATTGCGCCTCAATCTCGGGGACATTGTGTCTTTCGGCGGTCTGGGATGCGAAGTTGGACAGGCAGAGGGCAGCTGTCAGACTGCTCCGCACTGCCTGTAGGTACGGCCGGAGAGACTGGGACTGGAGCAACTGTCAGCATGGAGCAAAGGGCAATAGACAACGTGTTTGATTGTCTCACCATCTTGTAATAGCGCAGCTGTCACAACTGTCCGATGCAGAATGTCCCTTCGCTGGCCGTGAGATTTCGGGGAGCAATGTGGGTGCGTGTGCTTGGAGTGAGGCACCAACCTCGAGCTGGAGACAGAGCAGTGTATGGGGAGACGTCGTCAATGTGGGGCAGCGTTGGAAGTGTGGCTGGACGTCGCGTTACGTAACCGTACTACAAAGGAGGGGTCCCTGTGGCTGTGCTATTTACGTGAGGTGGGCAGCTGGCAGGCAGCTCCCGGTTGCCGTGCCGCTACCGCTTTCTGTCGCCTTCTGCCGGAACGCCACACATAGCTCTAGAACACACCTTACGCAGTACAAAAGTTGCCTTGCGAATTGATTATCAAACCTCCTGGCTCCGGCCACCAAACTCCTTAAATCCAGGGGCGCCACTACACTTTTCAAAAGTAGGCCTTTTCTCTCTGTTATCACGGTGTTCTCCCCCAACCGAAACCCAGGCTATTCAAGATGGCATCCGTCAATGGTAAGTGACACCGCTTTGCTGTACCCCCACCAATGCATCTGTCCACATTGCAAATACTCACACGTTTTCTCAATTCGCAGTCATCATCAAGCACCAGGGCAAGAAGTACGATGTCGAAGTCGACCCAGAGTCGACCGGCGAGACCTTCAAGTACCAGGTCTTCAGCCTGACCGGCGTCGAGCCCGAGCGACAGAAGATCCTCATCAAGGGCGGTCAGCTCAAGGATGACGCCGACATGAGCAAGCTGGGCCTCAAGGCCGGCCAGGTCATCATGATGATGGGCACTCCGGGAGCTGGCGGCGGCGAGCTTCTGCGGCCGAAGGAGAAGGTCAAATTCGTCGAGGACATGACGGAGGCGGAGGCCGCTCAGCAGGAGGGCGCCACGCCCGCCGGACTGACGAATCTGGGCAACACCTGCTACCTCAACTCGACCCTCCAGACCCTTCGATCCATCCCCGAGCTTCAGAATGCGCTGGTCAAGTACGAGTACAAGAGCTCCAGCGCGCTGGACCCCATCCGCCAGCTAGATCTGACAAATCAGCTAAAGGATCTCTACAAGTACATGTCCGAGACACAGGATGGCATGGCCCCTCACGCCTTCTTGAACGCTCTGCGAGTTGCTTTCCCTCAATTCGCAGAGAGATCGAAGACTGGACATGGCTTTGCCCAGCAAGATGCGGAAGAGGCATGGAGCCAGATTGTGGCTCAACTCAGGCAGAAGCTGCAATTGAAGGACGGCGATGACTCCCCTGAAGTGTCTTTTGTGGACCGGTACATGTCAGGACAATTCTCCTCGAGCCTTGAGTGCGACGAGCCGGCTGCCGGAGAAGGTGGCGAGGAGCCCACCACATCGACAGAAGAGTTCCTCAAGCTCAACTGCCACATCGACGCCAACATCAACCATCTTCGCGACGGCATCGTTGCCGGCCTCAAAGAGAAGATTGAGAAGAGATCGGAGGTTCTCGGTCGAGATGCCGTGTACACAAAGACTTCCAAGATCTCTCGCCTGCCCAAGTACCTGACTGTTCACTTTGTGCGATTCTTCTGGAAACGTGAGGTGCAAAAGAAGGCGAAGATCATGCGAAAGGTCACCTTCCCTCATGAGCTCGACGCCGTCGAGTTCTGCACAGATTCCCTGAAGAAGGCCTTGGTACCTGTACGAGACAAGGTTCGAGAGATCCGCAAAGACGAGGAGGACGTTGAGCGTGCTCGCAAGAGGCGGAAGAAGAACCCTCTTGATGGCGAGAACGACGAGCCGGGAAGCTCAGGCGCCCCCGCCAAGAAGGAGGAGAAGAAGGATGGCAAGAAGCCTGCCGGATCGGCCGATAAGGACGGCGACGTCGACATGGAGACCTACAAGACAGATGCCGAAATCGAGGCAGAGAGGGACGCTGCTCTCCTAGCCGCGAAGAAGGAACTCTTCACCTTGATCGACCCAGAGCTCCTCAAGGACGATGGCGCAAACCAGTCCGGCATCTACGAGCTCCGCGGCGTCGTCACTCACCAGGGCGCTAGCGCCGACAGCGGTCACTACACGGCGTATGTCAAGAAGCAAGCTCCTGTCGACCCCAAGACTGGCAAGAAGGGTGAGGAGGATGGCAACTGGTGGTGGTTCAACGACGACAAGGTGTCCGAGGTCACGCCTGACAAGATTGACGCCTTGGCGGGAGGCGGCGAGTCCCACTCTGCGCTCATCCTGCTCTATCGCGCTATTCCCCTGCCCACTGCCGAAGGAATTGTAGAGTAGGATAGCAAAGGCATAGAAGTCGGCGTTTGGTATTCGAAGCATTGGGGCAACGGCATGTTACGATACGATCACTGCAAATAAAAGGAAATACAGACATGGGGGCTTTTAGACGTAAGAATATATCAGCTTTCGGTCCTGACAGCTGGCTTCTGTGCTTGCATAGTGGCATTTACATCTTTACTTCCCGCTAGATCTCATAGTGATGGTGGAACTTTTGCCCTCTTAACAGGAGTGGCTGGCGCCCGTGTTCCGTTTTGTGTACAATGCACTGCTTGGCCTCCGAACCCGGGTCAATATCGGGTCATCCGAGTGTAGTCCCTCGAGGCCATTCTCCTGAGCTTGGTCCCTTGGTGAAGGTGACACCAACCCGTCATTCGGCACGAACGGCTATGTCGTATCCTTCCGAAGACACCAGAGGCGTCGTCTGTGCTGCACCTTGACAGATGGGCGTCGCTACTGTGGGCGCGGCCGCTGGCTTGCTTGCACCTTGGGCACCTGAAGAGTGTCGTCTTCTTCTCATTAATCCACCGGGCAGCTAGTTCACTTGCCGTTAGCTTTGGTTGCAGCCTCCTCTTCTCGTGCCTTTATCCTGCCCTGCACCTCCTCGAGTTTCTTCTCAAACGGCCGTCTCTGCATGAGCAGACGCTTGCGCCGCTCCTCCATCATGGCGATCTTCTCCTCAGGACTCGCCTCGATGATCTTCCGGCGCTCCTATTCGTCACAATCAGCAAATTTGTCTCGAGAGTATCCAGAGCTCTAGACACATACCGCCTTGAACTCTTGCTGCGTCTTGAGTCCCGCGCCGTAGATGCTGCCGACCACAGTGACGGCGGCAAATGCGCCGGTCCAGATGAACCGCTTGAACCGGGCGACGCCCGCGGGCGCTGCTGCTGCTGCCATGACTAAGGCCCTGCTTGATCCGGCAATTGTGATTCCCGAAGATGGGGAGCTATGTCGAATGTTCCGTCCCTTTGATTGGACTTCGCCACAGTGCAATTGTGGCCCTGCCCTCAGTCCCAGTACTGCCTCCAGATGGTGTCGCTCTCGGTGTCGCGCCGCGGACGTCGTCTGCTGGAGCTCCTGCTGCTGGATGTCGAAGCAGCCGACACGTCCGATGCGATGCTGTCGAAGGAGTTTGCGCGCGCGATGCCGATCCTGGCAGGCAGTGCGGAGATCGTGCGTCGTCGGGAAGGTGAAGCCGCGGGCGAAGAAGAGCGAGAAGAGGTTGTGGAAGTGGCGGGCGTAGATGATCTCGAATCAGGGAAGAAGTCAGAGCCGTCGTCAAGGCCGTTGATTGATATTTGCAGCTCGTCCTCTCGGCAGGCTGCCGGCCACGGCGCTAGCTCCACCTCGAAGACGGGCTGTGGCGCCGCCGCCGTGTCCCCAGCTCCAGGGTGATTAGCGGACACGCTCAGCGCCCTTAGTAATCGCCGTGCACTGTCCATGGTTTAACCCGATCTTTACTGCAGGTGTCTGGTCTTCTTCCAGCGACTTTCCTACGATCTTGGAATGGTGAAAAGGGCTTTGATCTGTTTCTTGACACAATAAGAGAATACTCGGGAGTCTTCAGCTCAAATAGCTCGGCATTGTGAAGCAAAGCACGACAGTCTTGAGGAGACCCTAGACGATTCAGGTACGGGCGATTCCCCTAATCGATGAGGTCAGGCCGCCGGCGGGGCTGATGCTGAAACGCTGCCCTTGCAGGTCGACAGTGGTGTGCTCTGTGCCCTTCCAGGTTCTCAACAGAGAGCTACGGATTCCTAGATGTGGCGAGACAGGCCCTCCAGAGTTGCTGATACTAAGTGAAGAGTCTGAAAACATTCCAACTTGGCGCAAGAATCCTGGATCGCAGCATTCAAATTCTGGCTCTCTGATTCATTGCGACATTTCAATCTCATTTAAAAAGGCTTGAGAAGTTATCTCAACCCCGACTTTCCTGGCCGTCCGTGCCAAAAAGCTTGACCAGGGGCGTCCTTAGTGAGTGCATCACATCTTGTTTCACCATCACCACGCGCTTATCAGCGCCAGGGCCAGAAACAAGAGAAGAGAGAGCCAACAACCAAGCAACCCGCGGAGAATGGCACCGCCTCGAGTCTTCATTGTCCGCCACGGCGAGACGGAGTGGTCTCTGAACGGAAGACACACGGGATCAACGGACATCCCACTGACTGCCAACGGAGAGAAGCGAGTCAAGGCCACAGGCAGGGCTCTCATCGGCAACGACAGGCTCATCGTGCCCAAGAAACTGGCTCACATGTAAGTGAGTTTGTTGATTGCTTTGGACTCTCATGAGCCCCCCCGGCGCTGGGCTTTTTCGGGAGATCAGCGGCGGTCGCGGCAGCGACTCTTGCTTGATTGACATAGCTGTCACACAAGATGCCTCGCGTGCCCTTGCCCTGTCGTGAAGATATGCATTGCTTTCTAGAGAGTTTCACGCTTGTCGATCTGGCAGCTCTGCCTGTTCGATCTCGCTTAGCCCTGCCTGTCAAGAAAAGAAGTCTAAGTGTATCAGCGCACTGACACTTCAAACAGCTATGTTTCGCCCAGAAAGAGAGCCCAGCAGACGTTTGAGCTGCTGAACCTCGGCATCAAGGGCCCTTTGCCATGGGATGCCCACGGACCAGAGACGGACGGCTCCGGATTGGAGTGCGATGCCCGGATTGAGATCACCGAAGATATTCGGGAGTGGGACTACGGTGACTATGAGGGTATTACTAGCGCTGAAATCCGAAAGAGACGCAAGGAGGCCGGTATTGAGGGCTACTGGGATATCTGGAAGGACGGATGCGAAGGTGGAGAGTGAGTATTCATTTTTTGTGTTCTCATGTGTCAACTTGTTGAAAATATCGGTATCGCCGATCGTTGCACCCAGTTGTGCAGTCCCTGGAAGATGCATATCGAACGCCTATATAATCAAAATTTCGTTCGAGCCACTGACAACATACCAGGAGTCCTGAAGACATCACTCGCCGACTCGACCGTTTGATAGATGAGATTCGAGAGAAATGGCAGAAGCCGCACATGGGCAAGGGGAAGGATGGAGGCAGCGGTGACGTCCTTGTTGTTGCTCATGGACACATTCTCCGCGCGTTCGCCATGCGGTGGGTCAACAAGACTCTTCAAGACGGCCCAACCTTTCTGCTAGAAGCTGGAGGTGTCGGAACTATGAGGTACAGTGACTAAAATCCAAGAAAAACAGATGACTGCTTCGTTAACATGCGTTTCTAGTTACGAGCACAACAGCATTGACGAGCCGGCTATTCTGCTTGGTGGCGCTTTTATAGTAGACTCGCCCGAGGAGAAGATTGCTGAAGCCAAGAAGGATTAGCTTGTGCTGTTGCCACATCTTTCCCGTAAATGGAACAGCAACAATCAGTCTTGTCCATGGTTACGCACGACATTCTTATCTAGATGGTCAAAGGCACACGGCTTGAGGAAGGCATTACGGTGCGGAGGATTTGATTTGAAATTCAATAGACTTTTCTGTTATAAGTATAGACGTGAAGACGAGTATCAAACGAATTTACGAAGCTGATTCAGTACATTATCGAAGCTTTGATCTACATATTCAAAACCCAAAGTATGTCTTGATACGTCAACCTAGACTGAAATTGCGTCTGGCCAAGATTCGTTTGGACATAATTTCTAAGCGAACATACCATTTTCTCTGTTTTCCTTAGCACTGCTAGGGAATCGAGGCCTCATTTCATTCCTCGTTTGACAGCATCTTCTAAGCTATAGCACAAAACTCATCACAACCGCTAAACAGGTCTCGCTGCCCATCCAGGAAACCGTGATAGTATTTCGACCTCTTCAGAGAGACATCTAAGTCCTCACGATTTGTTATGGCGTATCACAAGGCATTATTGATGATAGCTGCATGCGAACATTGAGATTAAAAGAGCCGGCGTGGTTCGCACCATTTAGATCTTCGACGTGCTCCCTTTCAGTGTATCATTCCAAACTCTTCCAGTACTATGTAAAGTCACAAGCCACATGGAACGCCTGACAAAACCCGAAATATTTGGTTGGGCTTGTCTGGCAAAACTTGGAATCTCACTCTTATTGATACATACAGAACCAGGAGAAACTAGCTAATGCATTAGAACATGGTCTATCAGGAGGGGCTTCAATTCTTTCAGGAGATCATTGCGTATCGTTCGAAATTACTTGGTATTCATCATGATCAAGTAGATATTCCATCATTGTTCTAATAGCAAGTAAGTATATGACATCTATTGATACTCTACATAGTCTCTGTCAAGCCTTCGTCCCCCGCGCCATGAACAGTTTCCTCTTATCTTCATGGCCACGAAACGAGACGTCTCCAACCTCTTCAATCGCATAGTCCTTGCCCACGCCCGCGTCCTCAAAAATCCTGCGAACACGCTCCGCCGAGAAGCCGTGGTGCATGACCGTCTTGGTCGCCGGGTGCGAGTGCTCCATCTCCCCGTGCGGCAGGAAGTCCAGGATCAGCAACACGCCGCCGGGCTTTAGCCGCTCGGCGAGCCTCTTGGCTGCCAGCTCCGGGTTGTCGAAGTGGTGGAAGCCCAGGCCGACGGCCGCGATGTCGAAGTCGTAGAACTCTGGCGCGGTAAGCTCTGCTGGTGCGGGCTTGTCCTCGGCTGTGAGGTCGCCGACGTAGGCGTGCATTTCGTCTCTTGACAAACCCTGTGTGGGTTAGAAAGTTGGGGTTTGGGTAGGACTCGAGCTCGGGTCGGTGAACGTACTTGGTTCTCTGCACGAGTGTTGTATGTTGCAGCCATAGCGGTAGAAATATCGACTCCAACGCACTGGGTCAAGTACGGTGAAAGTGCCTGGGAAAGTCAGTCCATTGGACTTGGAGCATATTACAGCCATTTGCAATTGCAGCTTGCTGGGTGATTGTTACTTACTCTTGACACAACCCCCGTTCCGCAAGCATAGTCAAGAAGCTTGACAGCCCTAGCTGGTTCCGGCTTGGCTTCATCGCTTTCTACGTCGTCGTCGTCGTCTTCATCGTCATCCTCCTCAATCCACTGGACACCAATGAAGTCTTTTCTCGCTCTGATCTCTCTCACCAGCTGATCGAGTGTCTTTGCATGTTTAATGTCATAGACGGCGGCTTGTTCGCTACTCGCAACTCGTTTGTCAGCGCTAGCTGAGACAAGAGACTATTCACAACCCCTGAGGGATTCAAGCAACTCGGGCCACAGCACAAGCCAGCCTGAGAGACGTGCTCTTGGCGCCAGAGTATAGGGCGAAAGCAAGAAAGAAAACGAGGGTTCTCTGATTAAAGTTGATCTACTCACCTGAAGTACTTCTCATTCAATTGCGCGCTGTCTGTCATGGTTGATTGTTGTTGTCGTAAGGCGCCAGAATTCGTCCAAGTTCAGCCAGCGGTGGGTATGGCCAGATAATGCCCTGATTCCTTCGCGAGACTCTTCAGAAATAATATAGAGACGAGCATGTAGCCTAAGATAGTATTGTAATAGTTTATGAAGGTATTTATATACGATGCCGGCGACTTTCCCCAGTACTGGGGGCTTTCTGGGGACTTCTCGGAGACTTTCCAGAGGGGGCAATTTCTTTAGAAAGGAGTCGAAATTATTATTACATTGACTCTCCAGGCTCTCAAGAGCTGCTGAATCTACGAATTCGGACACGATTAGGGGCCGATAGTATCAATTGGCGATTTGAGGCTCTCCTAGAGACGACAATGGCGATGAAGATCTCCAGCATGTCATGATGGTGGTTTACTTTGGGCTACGGGTGAAACCCGCACACCTAGGCGTGAGCTAAAAGCCAACCTAGGCCGCGCCAACAGTCCGGTAGGCGATCCCACGGATCGGAGATTTAAACTACACCTATCTAGATAGTCCAGAAAGAGCAAACATACCAATTCCCCATGGGCAAGCCATCCAAGCCTCTTGCGAAAGAATAGATGCCATACAGCTCCGAATTCCTCAAGATGAGACATGCACTCACTTAGTCGCAAAGAACACACGGACAGCATTGGGAGCGGACCGTCTTAGACACTGTCTCGATCGGCTAGCAGAGTTTCGACGAGAGCTGAAATGCATGTCGGTGGGCACGCTTAATGGCCGCTTATTGTTTGTCGGTCAGTCGAGTCGGATGGATCCCCAGCCAGCCTGCTCGATCGAGACCGCAATCTGCAATCAAACAAAACCGGGCATGTCTCCCGAGTAGATGAGCATGCATGAGTGAGGCGAGCAAGCAAGCAGGCAAACAAGCAAGGAGGCAAGCAAACAAACAAGCCCAAACCAAGCAAGCATCCCAAGCATCCTGCCATCTGGCAACCCGGCCATTCCTGGTTCTTAACATCTTCTCCACCTGCTATGCAAGACCTCGCATGGGGGACGCGAGGGTCCGGAGGCGCCCAATGCAGTTTAGATGGCTCAATAGGCGGTGTCACAGACCGTGGATGGAAGGGATCGTGTGTTCGAACGACGATCCCATGCATCGATCCGTAGCGGCCAGCGCGCGTCGGACCGTGGCCGCATCCTCGCAAAATCACAAGGGGACGCAACATGCGGCCCAAGCCGCTACTTCCAGGTGGTACGAGGGGGCAACCCGGGGCTTGTCATGTAGTCGGCAAGCCGCTGCCCTGCACCCAGCCCAAAGCGGTGCAGACATTTCCCTTTTCTTCCTCCCGGGCTTGGATCTCCATCTGCAGGCTGTGGGCTCCGGGTCATCCATGGGGCAATCCCACGTCGTGCGGGCGGCAAACAACCTGAGCCAGCAATAGCCAGCAGGCAGGCGACAGGGAAGCCGCGGAAGAGGACGACGAGACAGATACAAATCGCTCACATACGGTAGAGTACATGTGTGTTGCGTGGCAGCATCATGTACTCGAGTACAGTACAGCCCATATACTACCCATCTGCATGGGTAAGAGAACGGGAAACCTGCAAATGCGGGCACAGCGGGAAAAGGCCCTTGAGGTGGGGCTAGATGGGAGGATCGCAAGCCATCGCGAGCCCAACCGAGCCCAGCACCAAGCAAGGAAGCAAGCAAGCAAGCAAGCAAACAGGCAGGCAGGCAGGCAGGCAGGTAAGTCGAAAGGTCGATCCATTCGTTCATTAGGTTGGTGGTGGCAGTCGTGATCGATCTTGAAAGAGACAAGCATATCGAGTACCACCTCTAGTACCCCATATCACACTCATTCACTCAGATACTTGTTACTTGACTGAACCTCCCCGCCTGCCAGCCTGCCTGACCATCTTCACTGACCGACATGCAATGCCTTGTACTGCCTTGCCCTGGCCACCTTGCTTACGCCCGCGCACGCACGGGAGGTTGCCCAAACTCGGCTGCTGATGCACGGGATACGACGCCTGCCCGGCACTCGCATGGGTATCACTTTGTTTATTACCCAAGGTAAACCCGAATTGCCCATATTACCCTGCTTGGAGGTGCAACCACGGGTTGGATGTGTCAGAGAGTGTGTGCCTGTATCTATATGTCTGTCCGGTACATGCAGGACCGCAGACGACACCGCAGTGCAGTACAGTGCGCCTCGTTCGTATTCATGGGGCTGCATGTAGGTCGGCATCTCAGTTAATTGACTCTTTGGTCATCGCCGCTTCCGAAGCGTGAGCGGCAGCTTCGCTTGCGCCGTAAACGTGCCAATGATCCACCAACGCTCGGCCTTGGACTATAGCGAAAGGCAGCGAGCCGAATAAGGAACAGGAAGAGCATAGACGGGGCTCTGGGCGGGTCGATATCAGCTCGGCAATATAGCAGTGCGCCGGCGGCGGCTCACCATTCTTTGGTCCCGAGTGAACCTTCTCACCGCCGGTTTGCCAGGCAAAGAGCATACAATGTACTAGCCATCAGCAGCACCAACAACAACAAAGGACAAACGAGGACAAGAGCCATACCGAATAGCGCACGTAAAGCTGAAAAAGCTGGCACATAACCTCGCATCGATCCAAGCCGGATCCAACACAGCCTGTCGTGAACAATGGGACGGCGCGTGGCTGATCCCGCATGACCAATGTTGACGTCCGCAGTCGCCTGCCCAGTCGGCCCCGAAGGATCTTGAAAGATGCAGCCGACCCCAGCCAAAAGCGGAGACCCTCCGACAAGAGACAGCAGAGATGCAGCTAAGTATGGGTGGGCATAAGCGGGTGGCCGTGAGTAAAACACTGCAACGTAAAATTCGATAGTCGTCTATCACTGTCTGCAGGCTATTGCACCAACAGCGCCAACATCGATGTCAAAGGGAGGCACAACAGCACCTTAGCTGGCATCATGAGACAATCATGACTGTACAACAAGGCCGTGGCGCAAGCAGACTGTCGCCCTGCGCATGCGTTGCTGGCGTTTGACTTTCCTTCCGGCCGCCTACGCATGTAAGATGCTAGGGTCCATGTTTGTGTGATTGTTGCTAGATGCATTCTGTAATCGTACTTAGTGACAGGATACGGCTCACTGTGCATTGAAGTTGTACCTATAATTGTGCCAGTGCGGACAACACCGTGAGGGTACTTCTATGGAGTAATGAGCATCGACTCAAGAGATCATAATAGTGCCCCAACTAGGCAGCCTCTCGCAGTCTGTGGAGCTGTCCCAGAACAATTAGGTCGTTATCGCAGATTGGAGTTGTAACCAGAGCCGTCGCCGTCCTGTCAAAATAGACTAAACTCCGGTAAATGCCTAGAAGATGGCGGATGTGACACAGTCCAGGACACCGGCTGACAGCCTAGAATGGACGTAGGATTCAGCCTTGTAAAGAGCCCGGGCAATTACTTTCATCGGATAATGAAGATGGTGGCCTCGATTTGGGGAAAGGATTTGTATCAAGGTCGCCTTTGCAAAGTAATTCGGGAAAGACACAACTACACCAAGCCTCTGACTTGATATTGTTCGTTGTAGTGGCCCGTGTTATGTAAAACACTGGCAGTGCTAGATCATCATCGTTCATTCACTTCATGGTTCGTAGAAGAGATTGTTTCTTCGGTAAGATTTCCTCCTTTGCGGGATTTATGTCTGGCTGTATAGATCTAAGCGACCGCTGCTGACGAGAGAATTCGCTGCAAGAGGTTGTATTCCATTGCTTTTCACTTAGGCATCGCATCGGAAGCTGGGCTTCGCAGTTTGCAGGTGTGTTATTGACGGTACACACACTGTGTCCTTTGTCACTTAAGCTAGAACACGGACGTATGACCTGCAGAAACCTCCCGGGAAGGGCGGAAAGACGAAAGTACCCTGTAGGTGGACCAATGTAACATGGCCACCGCTTGTTGTGTTGTTCACCGTCTTCTCCACGCCGAATCTTGTAGCCCAAGCTACGAATTTGTCTGCAGCATACTGCAAAGACCCAAGGTAATCGGGAAAGTACAGCAAAAGGCCAGGTATGAGGCAAAGGGGCGAGCGGGGAGGAAAGGGAACAGAGCTTGCATTCAGCCAATGCTGACAAGATGGCAGGGTAGCCGTTGTCGACACGCCCACCCCCAGATACTCATCTGAGAGCAAGCACTTTTCAACGAATCCCATCCACATCTGACCATGGCCTTGCGCCCAGTCATTCTCAACAACGCCATGGATTCCCCCTTGATCCAGCTGAAGCTAAGGACAATCGCCACGGGGAGGGGGCATCCGAGCCAGGCGGGAGCAGTGGAGTGCATCCGCTGTGTGTCATGTGACGATGTTTGTTTGACGCCAGGGAGGACCTTGCTGAGCCACAAGAGAACGATGGACCAACAATTGTGTGGTTGTGGAAGCCTGAGTGTTCATTATTGGGTTTCGGTCAATGTAGACCGCTCTTTCGTGAGGATCCACGAGATGGTGTGGATGCTCGGACGTTTGCCTAGCTGTGTCTGTTCGTGGTTTCGATTGATGTATACAGACCGGCGTTGGCCGCCGCCCCTTTATGCTGACCTACATTGCCACGGCCTGTATTCGGTGACCTGGATACGCGATTGGTGCCATGGAATATACTTCTCTTTACAACTTCTGGTCACCCAGCATCAGGCTGTGGAACGGTGACCTGTCAGCTTGACAAGCAGCCATTTCTGCAGTTTCCTCCTGCCGTAGAAAGCGCGAATGAAGGCGGGGTGTTAACAGCAAGATGTGCCCTTCGTTCAATATGCTCCCGGCTGTGCATTAGCCCCGGGGGCCAGCATGCGGTAAGGGTTTGCCGTCTCCCTCTTGTCCATCGGTAGATAGGTAGATGCGTGTCTAGGACATACAGCGATGGCTCGAATCATCTGGGGCGAAGCGCTCATGGCGTGTGGTGCAATTCCCACCACAGTAGCTTGCATTCTCAATGTGTCTTGTTTAAGATTGTTGATCGTCCAGGTGAGGCTGGGCTTGATGTGCAAC